TGTACAAGCCTAATTTGTGTGTACAGAAAGATAGTATAATTGGGTTGAAATTGTTCAAGTAACGTGTCGTGTTTAGTGCGGCCAAGCTTGGCCGTTAATGTTCTAGGTGTAATGTACTGCTGTTATGTGTTATCACGTTGTCTTTCCTTCCTTTCTCCTTTGTTCATTTCTCGCTTTGATTGTTAAAATTCACACTTGTAAATTTCACTGTTGTTGCTCTTAGTGTTATTTCTGTAACTTAGATTTTCTATAATAGTTCAATTTTTGTTTCAGTGTCCTTTAGTACAACGACGATTCCTGATGAGTGTTGTACGAAAACTTGTTTGAATCCATATATTTTTTCCCTACACCATTTCTTCATATTTTCATCGTTTTATTGCACATCGTCTCCACCGTTTTTACATTGCATGAATAAAGTACACAAATGTCGGTTCAGCTAGTTTTATTGATTGCGGTTATCAAATTATTATTATTATTATTATTATTATTATTATTATGCAGAAGACGTAACGTAACGTAACGTAACGTCTGGCGCTAGCCAGGGTCCACACAGCTTTAATTTGGTGTTTGTTTGTTTGTGTGTTTGTGTCACGCCTGGCGCTATCCCGTATCTGTCCCGCACCGTACCGTACCATCAAACACAGCTGGCCACATACAGCTGGCCGCACTATTCAAATAGGGCTTTCAAACGCAAGATCATAACGTGAAGCAACTTGGAAGAATGAGTATGAATGCGAAGTGTATGGGGAATGCGTGTAGGGCGATAGTGCGGGTTCGAATCCCAGGTAATGCCTGAAAAAAAATAGGAAAATTGAAAAATTTATATTATCCCTATTCTTTTTTGCCGTCATCAAGGCGGTAGATGGTGTCGTATTACCCTCAACCGTACCTGTCCCGTACCGTACCGTACAATCAAAGACGGCTGGCCACAATGCATATTCAAATAGGGCTTTCCAATACAAGATCATAACGTGAAGCAACTTGGAAGAATTAGTATGTATGCGAAGTGTATCGGGGGATGCATGCAGGGCGATAGTGCGGGTTCGAATCCCAGGTTATGTCTAAAAACAAAAAGTAGAAATTTATAAGAATTTATAACATCCCCATGCTTTTTTTGTCTAGGTCATCAAGGCAAAAAAAGCATAGCGTAGGGCGGCCCTGAGCTTCCAAGCTCTCTCGTTTTTATTTATTTATTTATTTCTTCACCTCGTGGCATGTCAAGACAGCGAATTGAATTGAGGAGAGGGTGAGACCAACCACGGAAGAAGAGAAAAAAGAAAATGAAGAGCACGTACACAAAGTGGGAAGGGATTAGCAACTTACAAAGCAATGGGATGCCCAGCGAGCTATGCAGCGGAAGTGGTGACTGTGATTTTGTTTACTGGGAGATATTGAAGTGCTGTCTGACGAGGGTACGGAATTTGGGCATATCTGGAGCTTGTCTAACACTGGGAGGCAGTTGGAGCCACGTGGAGTAGGAGGAAAAGAAAGGTGAATTTACAAATAGGGTAGACCTAGCTAGGGGGAGACGAACGCAGCTTCGGGTGGTGCCACCAGACTTACACCAATTAAGTGACTGTAAATGAGCAGGGTGCTGGTCAAGAAAAATTGAATGTGCCAGGGTGCACTTGGAAGCATCAAGGTAGTGTTGCAGAGTGGTAGTGGATGCAGCAGCATACAAGTCTAGATTTGAGATATAAAGATCAGTACGAAATATGATGCGCAGTATACGGCGATGGAGAATTTCTAATTTACCTATGTGGGTTTTGTTAATGGTGGACCAGGCAGGGAAGGCGTACGTGAAGAGGGGAAGAATGTATGATTTATAAAAATTAATCCGGCAATTTTGGGGCAAATGGGACAAGTGACTTGACATTATGCCGACAGATCGGCATACTTTGGACGACACATGATCAGCATGGTGAGACCAGGAGAGGGCGGAATCTATGACAATGCCAAGGTGTTTATGGTGGGGCGCTACAGAGATAGGGTGACCGGGATCATCGGGAAAGTGGAAGATGGGCACTGGATCTGTGGGAGGGGGAAAAAGGAGGAGCTCGGTTTTGGTCACATTTGGCTTAAGGTACCAAGTGCTCATCCAGTGAACAATGTCGTTTATACAGGTCTGAACTTTGGGGTACAGGGTGGCGTGAGATGGGGAGGAAGCAAGGACAGTGGTATCATCTGCAAACAAAGAAATATTGGGAATTGCATAGGTCATTAACGTATGTGAGGAAGCGCGGGGGACCTAAAATGGAGCCCTGGGGCACTCCGGATGTCACAGACTCGGGATCAGATAAGGTTCCATTCACTGTGACGCACTGATTTCGGTCCAAGAGGTAACTAGTTATCCAGGCGAGTAGGGAGCCGGAGACACCCTGGGCACGAAGTTTGGCGATCAGGCCCTTGTGCCACACGGTGTCGAAGGCCTTGGAGAGGTCGAAGAAACAGATGCAGGAGACCTGCCGCTGGTCTTTTAGGGAGCAGAGGTCTTGAATTATGCGGGACAATTGCAGGAATGTGTTGTCCTTACGACGGAAGCCAGATCGTGCGGGGTGAAGAAGAGGGGAGATATGGTCATACAAGCGGTCGTACACTATACTCTCTAGCAGTTTGGAGACACAGGACAGGAGGGAGATTAATGGCGCTCACAGGTCACCCAGAAGGGTGAAAGTCGTACTTCAAGTACTCATCGCGCGTGTCGTACGAAAAGTCAACAACATGTGTCTCGATGCACGTGTGTGCGTACCACAATGTGTACAAAATAGATGTTTACCCGCCATAAATGCACAAAGGTCACATTTGGATCCGTTGGAACCGGTCAACCCTGCTCCCCGAGGTGGGTTGGCCGGATCCAAATCCAAAGGATCCGGATTTGATCAATCGAAAGGGTGCGAATCCAGTGGATCCGGTTGATCTGGACCCCGATCTTACCAATCGAACATGCCCCTAGTTTCTATTGATATTCGAATATGGAATGGATTGACGAAACCTTGCAAACTGTGCTGATTTGAGATTTTAGTGAAAAATCAATGCCAGGGCCACTGATTTGTCACTTCATGCGAGGCGCTCTGAAATCATGACGTACTGGCGCTCTGAAATGGTGACGTAATTGCCTAATTGCATACTGTAAGAGTTGACCCCGTCTTTTATTTCCCTAGCACAGTGGAGAAAAGGATTAGTATATAGAGATTCAACTCGTAGAGTGACGTCAATTAAGCCATGCACAGTTCACTTACCGTCTAGCATAGCAATATGAACTGGTCTGCAAGAACCCAGTGTACTTGTGATGCGTGCAGGAAACACACAGCCTTAGCCTTAGGCCCTCTTTAGACTAAGTACAAAACAGCCTATAAGTCACATTTACAGAGAAGTTTCCAAGACAACTACACGAATCTGGCGGGAAGCCTAAAAAGCTGCCCAATCCTTTCAGGCAGGGTGTGAACCCTTGTACAAGGCAACTTTCCTGCATTTAACTTTTATCCAATGCTGTAGATGGCAAGCTGTTAGGGCCATAAAGGCCTCATCAGTACAGCTACGAGCTAAATAGGCCGAGCTACCAGCCATTTTTTGTATGGGAACTGGAAGAACTTCAATTTCATTGCAAACAGGCAGGGAAGTAGTGAACTGCCAAAGAAGCGAAAACATTGCCAGCCCAATATTCAGTGCGCTGTTGCAGTGCGCTGTTGCAGTGCGCTGTTGAAGTGCGCTGTTGCAGTGCGCTGTTGCAGTGAGCTGTTGCAGTGCGCTGTTGCAGTGCGCTGTTGCAGTGCGCTGTTGCAGTGCGCTGTTGCAGTGCGCTGTTGCAGTGCGCTGTTGCAGTGCGCTGTTGCAGTGCGCTGTTGCAGTGCGCTGTTGCAGTGCGCTGTTGCAGTGCGCTGTTGCAGTGCGCTGTTGCAGTGCGCTGTTGCAGTGCGCTGTTGCAGTGCGCTGTTGCAGTGCGCTGTTGCAGTGCGCTGTTGCAGTGCGCTGTTGCAGTGAGATGTTTTCATTGTGTCACTATTGCAGTGAGACAGGACCATTTTGTATCCACCGTAGTACATAATCGTAGTACATAATCGTAGTACATAATCGTAGTACACATAATCTAGGCTGGCATCACTTAGCGGCTATCAGTGTAGTCTCGAACTTATTTTCCGCACGTAAGCATTTATGTGACCTGGAAGCGTGTGATTACGCGACTTCGCGTAATCACAGTTACACTCTGTATAAAAGAGGGCTTTCCACAAGTTCCAGCCATACAGTATTCTACAGCTTTCACTGATGAGATCTGTATGATTGCAACAGCTGTATGGAAGAATTATTTATACTGGCAGTCATGGTCTGCACCGTCTTAGAGTCGTGCCAAAGTTGCTGGTGTGGTGAACGCGGTCAGCCGGAGAGTGCCGCCGTATGTCGCGGGCAGTTTGGACTCCATTTATAGAAAACCTCTTGTCAGCATCACTCCTGATTTACCAGCCAGCACTATGCAGCGCCATGAGATGTAGCTGTTGCTCATCTCGGTGATGCTTACGTTTGGTATTGCTACTTATAACCAACCTGCATGACACTTGCAAGTTGAGTGGCTAGTCCTTACTGGTTAGCGCTATCCCGCTATGCTTGAGCTGCTGCACATCAGGCCATTGAATGCGCCCACTCCTTACAACTACGTGTCGTGTTGACTTTGTGTAAATGTAGGTTAGTGTCAATAGGTTGGGCTGGGCTAGGGACAAGCATGCACCAGCACAACCAGTGCAGCAGTAGGGTAGGGAAACGGTAACTATCGGTGTCTGAATGATGGCAGAAGGGGCACTCGAAATGTTGATTGTTATGTGACAGATAGACAGATAGACAGATAGACGAAAGTTGAAAAGTATAACGTTATTTGTCATGTGGGCTGTTTAAAACATTAGCTCGGATTGCTTGTTGATACGCTCCATGCATATAAAGCTTTCCTTTTTTGGCACTATTGTGCAATCATGTACCCTATTCTTTTCTCTTGTGTGGCTTGGTTCCACTAGGTTGGTGATAGCGGATGATGTGACTGGTGCATGTGATGCTGCACTGGCCATAAGCAAGTCGGGTCTGAATGTCAGCATTGTACCGGACTACACTAGCTTAGTGCTAACTCAGTCTGTACCGGCACCGGCAGGCTCTGATGAGGACACACCATTGCAACAAGCTCAAGTCATTGTTGTGAGCAGCAACTCGAGAGAGGTCGACAGTCCCGACCTTGACGATTTCTATACCACTGTTCGTCGGTTCATCGAGAACAACAAGGAGATCCATGTATATCTCAAAGTGGACTCATCTGTGCGAGGCAATATTCCCAAGGTAGATGTTTCTAGTGTTAAGTGAATGAGCTACATGTGTTTGTGTGTGTGTGTGTGTGTGTGTGTGTGTTTGTGTGTGTGTGTGTTTGTGTGTGTGTGTGTGTGTGTGTGTTTGTGTGTGTGTGTGTATGTGTGTGTGTGTGTGTGTGTGTGTGTGTGTGTGTGTGTATGTGTGTGTGTGTGTGTTTGTGTGTGTGTGGTGGTGGTAGACTCTGGTCCATCTACCTGTAACAATGCTCCAGGTATCAAAGCTGCATGGTCCAAAGCTGCATGGTCCAAAGCTGCATGGTCCAAAGCTGCATGGTCCAAAGCTGCATGGTCCAAAGCTGCATGGTCCAAAGCTGCATGGTCCAAAGCTGCATGGTCCAAAGCTGCATGGTCCAAAGCTGCATGGTCCAAAGCTGCATGGTCCAAAGCTGCATGGTCCAAAGCTGCATGGTCCAAAGCTGCATGGTCCAAAGCTGCATGGTCCAAAGCTGCATGGTCCAAAGCTGCATGGTCCAAAGCTGCATGGTCCAAAGCTGCATGGTCCAAAGCTGCATGGTCCAAAGCTGCATGGTCCAAAGCTGCATGGTCCAAAGCTGCATGGTCCAAAGCTGCATGGTCCAAAGCTGCATGGTCCAAAGCTGCATGGTCCAAAGCTGCATGGTCCAAAGCTGCATGGTCCAAAGCTGCATGGTCCAACGCTGCATGGTCCAAAGCTGCATGGTCCAAAGCTGCATGGTCCAAAGCTGCATGGTCCAAAGCTGCATGGTCCAAAGCTGCATGGTCCAAAGCTGCATGGTCCAACGCTGCATGGTCCAACGCTACCTGTTTCAAAGCTACCCGTGTATCAAGACTACATGGTCCAGTGCAATACGCTGGCAGTTGTGCGACACCTTATCACAACAGACCAGGGTCAAAAGGTCAAATTGCGTGTTTTAGACATTCATGGACAATGACGGTTATGTTTAGCTCTGCTTGTGCACATCTATATACAATGTTTGCATCTATATACAATGTTTGCATGGTTGTGGGAATAACATATTGATCATAGTGTGCATGTGCGTGCATACGTGTGTGTGTGTGTGTGTGTGTGTGTGTGTGTGTGTGTCTGTGTGTGTGTCTGTGTCTGTGTGTGTGTGTCTGTGTGTCTGTGCGTGCTTACAGGATATCACGGTGGCTATGAAGAATCTTGGACGAAAGCACTGTGTTCTAGCACCAGCCCTGCCAGAGGTAAGCCCAGCTTTAAATGGGAAGTTAAGCCTAAAATCAAAGTTTCACCAGTTGTAGTCTTCGGGCTGCTGAGTCGAATGGTCTTGGTCCGAGGAAGCTGAGACGCTCCCTTCCTCCTTTATTCCCAATCGAACTGGCGCACTTCCACCGAAACTGGGTGACTGCGCCCTACTAGATGGGGATTTGTATGCAAAGTGTCACTACAGCTTCCTCGGACCAAGACCATTCGACTCAGCACCCCGAAGACTACAACTGGTGAAATTTGATTCTAGGCTTAACTTCCCCTTTAAGATTGCCGTACGCTATACTCCTCCGGTATGCCTGTTCTTACAGTGGGGTGGGTGAGTTAAATGTTCCCACACTGGAACAGGCCTGAGGGGACATTGATACCATGCAAATGTGCATACTGTGCCAACACACAGCTTGTCAGGTATGCAGCGTGCTGTGGCATCGTAAATGGTGGTGTCGTACATGTATGCACACCTTGGTACCATGGAGTAGATTCCCAGCCACACAGTTCATAACAGAAGGCTGTGTGTGGGAGAGCAAGAAGGCACAGCATAGGAGACCATCACCAGCGTCAAGGGTGATACAAAGGGGAATGCGACTCACATGCTGTGATGACATGGGCGGAATATGACCACATCACGCGGCTGTGCTCTGAAGTAGAGATGTAACAAGACTAGGACTAGTGTCACTGCGGGTGTGGTGTTAAAACTTAAAGGGGAAGTTAAGGCAAAAATTAAAATGTCACCAGTTGTAGTCTTCGGGGTGCTGAGTCGAATGGTCGTGGTCCGAGGAAGCTGAGACGCTTCCTTCCTACTTGAATCCCAATCGAACTCGCGCACTTCCACCGAAACTGGGTGACTGCGCCCTACGAGATGGGGATTTGTATGCAAAATGTCACTAAAAGCGCCATTTCGTTCTTATAAAAGCTCGGATGACCGCGATTGGCCCATATGTTGTACTCTTTTGGACGCTGAGTCGACTGGTTTTGGTCCGAAAAGGCTGCGATGCAGCGTTCCTCCTTTATTCCCAATCGAACATGGTTGAACAAGCGGTCACGTGCTCCTGCGTACGCCAGTCACCTGGTCACCGTGCCTGCAGGGTACAACTTACTAGCCTGTTTGACCTTTTTTGGGTGCAGTCCTGTCACTCGAGTTGAACCTTGGTGCGAAAGTTGTCGCCTGCTGGCGTGGTGACCAGGTGATTTGGGCACCCAGGAGCACGTGATCGCTTCTTCAACCATGTTCGATTGGGAATAAAGGAGGAACGCTGCATCGCAGCCTTTTCGGACCAAAACCAGTCGACTCAGCGTCCAAAAGACTACAACATATGGGCCAATCGCGGTCATCCGTGCTTTTATAAGAACGAAATGGCGCTTTTAGTGACATTTTGCATACAAATCCCCATCTAGTAGGGCGCAGTCACCCAGTTTCGGTGGAAGTGCGCGAGTTCGATTGGGATTCAAGTAGGAAGGGAGCGTCTCAGCTTTCTCGGACCAAGACCATTCGACTCAGCACCCCGAAGACTACAACTGGTGAAATTTTAATTTTTGCCTTAGGGCGCGCTCACACTGCGACCAAAACCAGCGTCCATGCGGCCATGCGGCCAAGTTGCATGGCAACGGCATGAACTTGACCAAAACGTCGCGGCCACGTTTCAAATCGTGACCGCGACCTCCGGAGGGGGGTGCCACGACTTGGCGGCAACATGATCGTAGACGTGAAGCATATTTGTGTACAACCTGGCCTGAAGTATGCTCAATTTCTCAAATTCCGGTGTGTTGATTCATGGAACTCGGCGGTTGTCGATGTCATCGATCCTCGACATTTGTACATTTTTAAAATTTTGTAGTTGTGGTCCTGCACGCACGCACCGCCATATATGCATTCTTTGCCCTTTTTGGACGATGTCTTTGTTTTTGTAGTTGCTTCGTTGTGATCGGGTCAGTGACCAATTTCTACAGTGTAGTGTACTCGTTCAATACGATTGCAGCTTGGTCTGGCTTTTCGGTTTGGGAAATCATCTTTCCAGTCTACTTTTCTGCGATGATGGAATGCCATACCTCAAGACATTTCAGTTACATATCATCGGAAAATACAGTTCTCTTCTCGGCAACAGACAAAAGAAACCACTACCGGAATTTCCACTGCACTGGCACTTGCTCTGACCACGAGGTCAGGAAAGCGAAAGCCCTTGGCTGTCAGCGGCAGTTCCTCAAGAGTCCAAACCTACCTGATTGCATGAATTATTTTCGTCGACTTCAAGAATACGAACCACACGAGGCACTTCCTCCAACATGCAACATGCGAAAAATTACATCCAAAACGGGCCACAACTTTACTAGGAAATGCACGAACTCTTTTGGATACGAACTGCAATTCGTAAAGTTTGTGTGACAACTTCACGTCTACGCGTGTACGAGGCCTAGTGTGAGCACGACTGCCACGTTTCTGCGTTTTGCTGACGCATGGACGCGAGCTCATGGTCGCAGTGTGAGCGCGCCCTTAACTTCCCCTTTTTAACTACTGTATGAGCTCCTCAATGCTCTTACTTGTGTCTTGTCTTCTTGTTGTTGTTTTGTGCCTCTCTCCTTCCTCAGGCTGGCAGGACGACTGTGGGTGGTATTCACTTGTTGCATGGGGTACGGTGTATAGTAGCGCTCCATCTTTGATTGAACATTGTGTTGTTAGTAGGGTCTGGTCTTGGCTCGACATAGCGTGTTACATCTCACGGTGACCGGTGATGGATGAATTTTGTGATTTTACGCCTGAAACCACCAGTTACCTGTATTTCTTACACTGAGCAATTTCCTCATCATGAGCCCAAAGGCATAGCATGAAGCATATTGCAGATACTGCCCTCATGCAAGGGCAAGAGAAAGCAGACTGAGCACAGAATCTTAGTGCAGCCTTGACTGGCTGTTACTATTAGATCTCTGCCTCGGGCCGTACGCTGGTCACTGAAGTCATAGGCATTATGTCATGGGATGATTAAAAAATTTAAAATGATAGCTTGCATAGACCTCGGTCCTACCGGTAGGACCATCATACACAGACATGCTGCATGGCCTCTGTTCTAACATTGACCAAAAACTTGACCCTAAACTGTTGCTAAGGGGCCAATGGAGGAGTCCACGAATTTTGGACGCGATCGTACAAGGCACTGATATTGTGAAATTCCATGGCAATAGCCCATGATAACCATGGAAATGGATTATGGGATTTGCACTCCTCAGCCATGGCAGGCTGAGAAAGACATCAGGTCCTCAGCACGATCGATGTGCCATGGTCAAAATTCACGTTGGACAGAGTTTCTAGCGTTCCGACAGAAGCATGTGCGGCCATTTTGACAATTGATAAAATCGCACATATGCCCGCAATGCATTTTGCGCCATTACTTAGCCTTCCAAAGACCTCATCTCAACAATTGTTTCAAGAAAATTGGGTGAAATAGAACTTGTGATGTCGAACGTGTCACCAACTAGAACAAGAAGAATTCACAACAACATTCACACAAAGACTCATGATAACAATTATCCAACTATAGCACTGAATAAAACTGTGTGTGCATTCATATCACAAACATAGCAACGATGGGACGTATGCATCAAATTCCCGCCGTTAGGTTTTGCGGGGTAAGTCCCCTACAACCGTACACACCTTGATACCAACTCTGCATAAAAGGTCATGAACTTTGTGAGGTCATACACATAAATGTACTGCAACGGGTTGTACCTGCCAAGTATGGGTAACTTGCCCTGCAAAAAAAGGTGACGGCCATCTTAGATGCATACCTCCCATTGAAGGATTCCAGAACGTTTTCTTGGCACAATTATCAATGGAATTCGTGACTAAAGAGAATGATAAAACTACAATAGGATCTATATACACTTGGCGTGAAAAACGAGGATACAAGAATAGTAAAAAAAATAGAACATACTTCAAAAATATATTGCATTGCTAAAAAAAGCGATACAGGTGAGAAATGCCGGATAGGAAATTCACCCCTCCTGTTCAATTACCTAACTATCCAGTCAAAGTACATGTGCTTTATAATAGAGAGGTTCTGCACAACGAAAATTCGAACGAAGTTTCGCGACAGGCCTTGCGAAAATGTGTACGAATTTTCGCACGAACTTTGTGTTCTGCACATTTTCGTAGTTTGCACGCGCCAAGTGCACGTACGACATGACCAGGGATGACCCAATCTCACGAAACTTCCTACGAAAGTTCATTTCGCGTTCCCTGCAAGTTTCGCGTCCAAAGTTGCGAAAGTTCGTGCGAAGTTTCTCACTTCGTGACGTGGAGCGAAAGTTCGTACACATTTTCGTTTTGCAGAACCTCTCTAATAGGGCAAAGTCAACAGTTATTACCAGTTCACACAATTTGTAGGCGCCTCCACCTAAATGTTTGCTTCTTATCAATCCTGAAGATGGCCCAGGGCTGAAATATCGGTTCTTTTTTCTTTTTTGAATGCAGTACAGAGGGCAGTTCAAAGGAGTTTTGGTGATTGAATTAGTCATTGACTTGGCTGCAGTGGAGCCTGCGTACCCAGAAGAAAGTGGCAGGATATGTGACATTTTTGAATTTTCCAGTGAAATAGATCAATCACTGAGAGGCCAGTTGTTTGTGGCCAAAGACTTATGCTCTGCATTCACATGATACTACATTAGTAATGCTTTTTGGTTGTGTATACAGGTAGCTAGGTGCCCCACAGTCAGCACGTGACTATGTGATCTGCTGCTCTGATTGCCTTTGCAGGTGCCCGTCTCAAAGTCGCTGGCTCAAAGCTCAATGCTAGCCACTGCTAGCAAAGTGCCGGCTGTTCTGGGCGGTGAGGTGCTTCCTGTAGTAAGCAGTCTTGTAGCACTGGTGTGCAGGGATGGTTACGTAGCAACGGATGATGTAAAGCTTGTTAACATTGACACAGTTCTGGGAGGAAAGGAGGTGAGTATGTTTGTACTACTTGAGCATTTAGTGTAGCTATGCACATGTGTGTGGGCGAGCGCGTGTGTGTGTGTGTGTGTGTGCGTGCGTGCGTGCGTGTGTGTGTGTGTGTGTGCATATGTGCGTGCATGATTGAGTTTGAGGTGCATAATTATTAAAAGTGTATCACCATGTGTTTGCCGGACTGTGCTTAGAGCTCTGCATTTACGGTCATTGATTACTCATCGGGCATTGGAACACGTTACTTGCCCGTCATCCATGTATTTGTATAGTGCGCATGGATGTGTCACAGAGTTCTGCAGGTCCCGGACTAGCTTTACTAACTACAGCTGTATGGCATGTATGCTGCCAACCCATGTATTTCTCATATGGAAAGTATGCAGGTTTTTTTACGAGAAACCACGACTGAACCTCGAGAACAGAATGCTGCATGATAGAGGTGGCTGCAGACGCAACTGTGGTGGTAAAACTGGAGCATCTCCACCGAACTGAGGACTCGGCTTCAGCGACACTTCAGTGCACCAAAAATGGGGAGGAGTCACAGGCACAGGGGGAAGGGAGGGGAGTAAATTTGTATAGAGGGTGAGAAATGGAAAGATGATACATGTCATTGAGTAAAAAATGGGGAGCCAGGGTGCAAGCGGAGAGGGTGTTCAGGGAGGGTTCACAAGGCATCTGTGGCTGAGTGCCAGTCTTGACTGCGGAGAGACTTGTAGGCGCCTTCATTGAATGCCTGCATTCCCTTCTGCGTAGGAAGGTTGCGTAGCAGGGCAGATGGGAGACGATTTCAGTCTTGGATCGTGGCATGGGGGAATAATCGGAGAGCACTATTACGGTGCAAGGCACTCCTGCCTGTATCCCACTGCACTCCTGCCTGTATCCCACTGCGCTCCTGCCTGTATCCCACTGCACTCCTGCCTGTATCCCACTGCACTCCTGCCTGTATCCCACCAGTGGCGGGTTTAGGGGGGGGGGGCGCGGGGGGCGCGCGCCCCCCCCCTCAAAAATTTCGACCTAGGTTTCGAAAAATAATAGGCAGGGCGCCGGGTCGAGCTAGACTAGGCGCGGGGCGCGCGCGGCCTGAAACGATTGTCCAAAAGCGGTTGCACGGTCGAGCTGGTGTTGATTGTACACACTACGAGTACAGACTAGTACAGACTCAGTCTACAGAGTAGAGTCTACGTACAGTGAGCATGCACGGCGCGGCTACAGAAACACGGTGACCTGTGTGTACTGTTGTACAGTGTGATCCCTGCTGGGACGCGCTCGACGCGTCTTCAACGGTAGATCTACAAACATCGAAGAAAAGTCTTCGATCGAGTCAACCAAAACACGATTCGAATGCCGAGGGCTCAGGCGATCATCCTCGTTCGAATCGTGTTTTGGTTGACTCGAAGGCTTTTCTTCGATGTCTCAGGGACATCCCAAAAAGCCAAGCTCTAGCCAGCAGAGCCTGGCATTTTTGTAAAGCGTTCCTGTGGCGGCGCAACTCCTGCTGCCGCTCCAACAGGAAACAGTGGGGGTGATGAAGTCGCTGTTATTCCAGTTGAACTTTCGGAGCGGACTGACAGTCACACTCCGCCAGACGCGTGGAAGAACCTGTTGTCAGCGAGCAGCCAGAACATGAAGAACATTAGCAGCGCACAGTGACAAGTACCGCTGCCTATGTAAAGGATGCTTTGACTCTTTGAGAGCGGTGAGAAATTGTTGGACTCGCATAAATAATTGCAGTTGATTCGCTCACCTAACGGCAAATTATTATTTGAAGTTTACAATGTACATTGTTGCTGCGTGTACAGAAATACTGCTCGTGGTGTGTGAGATTTACGGCTTGTTGTTGTTGTTGTTGTTGTTGTTTATTTTACTTCACCAAATGAGCAGGCAGAGATGCCTTCTCACCTGCCCATAGGACAGGTTCTCACAGAATGATGAAGGGATGATATGCAAGGGAAAACAAGAAATGATAATAATAATATTATAAGACAGAAAGGACCAAAAGAAGAAAAGGAAAAATTTATATGAAGACAATTTCATGGAGTCAGAAATAGAAAGACAATAATTTCATGGAGTCAAAGAATAGAAAGACAATCTCATGGAGTCAGGAACACTTGGTTGATTTTATAGACATGCATGAACAAATGTGATAGATCAGAAGGTTGGAATTTATGGCAGATAATAAAAGTTTAAAACGAGGATATTCACAAAGAAAGTATATCAATGGCAGAAAGAGCTTTTCGGAAGGGACCAGGGACACGTATCACTCTAAAATCAGAGGGGAGAGCGTTCCAGAGAATGCTTCCCCGAAACATCATGGTCGATCGTCCCGCAGGCCCACGAAGAAAGGGAACTTGAAGCAAGTTCGACACTTTACCCCGTGTGGTGCGCTGATCCTCCGGAACAGTCTCTGGGGCCGTTCGGGTGAATAACTGTTGAAGAAGGGGGCTACAGGAGGAGCTTCTTGACATCGGTTTTCAAAATGGCTGACCTGGGACAGTAGCATGATGTCATCTACCCCCACCCCACCCCGCCTTGATCCCGGCCGCAACCCCCCCTCAGCCAAATCCTGGACACGCCACTGCCCACTGCGCTCCTGCCTGTATCCCACTGCACTCCTGCCTGTATCCCACTGCACTCCTGCCTGTATCCCACTGCGCTCCTGCCTGTATCCCACTGCACTCCTGCCTGTATCCCACTGCACTCCTACCTGTATCCCACTGCACTCCTGCCTGTATCCCACTGCACTCCTGCCTATATCCCACTGCACTCCTGCCTGTATCCCACTGCACTCCTGCCTGTATCCCACTGCACTTTACCGATTGGGTCATGTAAAGCGCTGGTCAGCCAAGAATCTTACCATGGGAGACTGGGACCATGGGAGAATGGGACCATGGGAGACTGGGACCATGGGAGAATGGGACCATGGGAGAATGGGACCATGGGAGACTGGGACCATGGGAGACTGGGACCATGGGAGACTGGGACCATGGGAGACTGGGACCATGGGAGACTGGGACCATGGGAGACTGGGACCATGGGAGAATGGGACCATGGGAGTTCTGCTCCTTGAATCAAGCAGCCACTGGTTAGAAATCCCTGGCCAGTGCTGTATACATGCGCTGGTGTGACAATCGTGCATGCTGCTACATATCCTCGTGTTGCCTTGCACTACTCTACAGGCTGTTGCATCTTCCCTGTCGCACATTACAAGCAATCGCCAAGAGAGCATCGCCGTTGTTGATGCTGTAGAGCAAGAACACCTACGTACTCTAGCCCAGGCCGTGGCTATGCAGCCCCAGAGAATGCTACTCTGTGGATCAGCTGTAAGCACTAGCTGATCATTAACTCACTTACTATACACAATGTTATGATTGCTGCTGACAAAATGAACTTGTTAGACCAGGGAGGCTTCATCACTCCAACTACATGTATGAGTTAAATAGGACCAGACTGCCATCTATGGTCGCAACCGCCACTGACATTAACTGGGAGAGTTCTTTGTACTAGTACTGAGAATGATCAACCTGTTGAAAGTAGTGGGTGAATTTTACTTGATATGTAGTCTCTGCAGGACAAGAGCCAAGTTTCCCCATGGTTGAAATAACTGAGGTGTGGAGAAAAGGTTCATGGTTATGATGTAAACAGTGATGTCCACTACACTTTGACACAAGTTGTAAAATGTCTCGGTTGCTTCTGCCTTGGTGTAGGGCCTTGCAGCTGAACTTGCCACTGCGTGGAGTGCTGAACGGCATTGTGACCAGGCTGTGTGCCGGGCACCGCAGCCGGCGCAGGTATGTGTACTAGTAGTCTAACATAATGTATGTCGGCATACTGGTTCTAAGGGCAGTCTTTCTGGCACCTGCTGACGCATTGTCATCACTGCAGGATATCAAGGATTCATGGAGTGTTTGAAATTCTTGCTTCCAAACAGTAGAAATGACAATGCTCGGTTCACAATTCTGTCTCTATATTGTGTTCTATTCTGTGCTCATTTTGCTTCCGTTGTGCAGTGCTACCTGCACACTTGAAGTGAACCTGGTGCATGTGATGATGTACAGTTGTTATTAGGACGGTTGTTGTTACTCAGGCTACTAGTCTCAGCTAGTGCCCTTGTGGTGGCATGACAGTGACCTATTAATGTTTGAATGTCCATAGAGAAGCAGAAAGCTAAGCATGTTTTAACTGTGAATGTCACGGAAGCTCTGTGGTTTGTGTCTGGAGCACTGCTCTGCTAGCTGTGGCTACAGCCTAGAGCAAGTCTTGCAGCTTATAATGATGGGGTTGGGCAGCTTGGGATTCCTTGGGATTCGTGAAATGTACCATTGCGTCACACTACCGTAACACTGTTTTCTCTTCTCTCCCTCTGACACTCCCTCTGACACTCCCTCTGACACTCCCTCTGACACTCCCTCTGACACTCCCTCTGACACTCCCTCTGACACTCCCTCTGACACGCTCTCGAATACTATCTCTCACCCACCCTGGCACCATGAACAGGTGCCAACTGGTGGTGAAGTGGTGGTGTTTGTCATCGGCTCTGATTCTCCCACCTGCTCAACACAGCTGCACACCCTTCACTCTGCTGTCACATGCCTGGTGGAGGTGGACTGTGGCCGGGGCACAGCGGGGGGCGTTGATGCGAAACTTGAATCTCTACAGAAAGGAGAATGTCCGACTGCTGTTGTCCTGAGAGCAAGTATGAATGAAGGAGCTTCTGAGACGACGGTAAGAACAGCAGGTTTGCTTCATGATTGTCCTAGTGAGCTATCAACATGTAGACACTGGTATGTGTGGCAGCAACACTGCCAAGCTCAGCCAGTAAAATCTGCCCAATTGGTTATGACAATGATGTGTACCAAAGGCCCACCACTGTACTCACTGACGTAGGCCGACTGATCCGTGGCATGCCCGGCAACCAGGCAACGCAGGCAGTTTGGTCAGAAAACAGTGCAAACTGCTGTGCATGAACACCGGGTCGAATGCAAAGTTGAGATAGCAAGGGAAACACTTCCAGTCCCCCTGGCTATGCCCCTCAGTACCCTGGCTATGCCCCTCAGTACCCTGGCTATGCCCCTCAGTACCCTGGCTATGCCCCTCAGTACCCTGGCTATGCCCCTCAGTACCCTGGCTATCAGTGTTACCAAGTGCCCTCTACCCCCATCCGTATTGCTCAGTGCCATTTTGCGGAATTTTTCAGCGTTTTCCGTACTCGTTTTTTTCAGGTCAACATTCTCACTGATTATTAGTGTAATTTGGAAAAAACCAATACACACACACTTGCACATGCATGTCCATTGTCACACTGCACTTGCTCAATTTCCTTTCTTTTCTCACGTTTATATTTTTTATTACCTGTGCAAATTTTTCCTAAGTTTGTGCTATTTTTCTTACTATTCTTGTATCCTCGTCGTTTCACTCCAAGTGTATAAATCCTATTGTAGTTTCATCATTCTCTTTAGTCACGAATTCCATTGATAATTGTGACTTCTGCACCATTTTCCCTCCTTTCGAAGACACCGTATTTTTTTCGCTTTTCCGGGAAAATTCGATTGAAATCCGTACTGCGGACAAATCATCGTTTTTCCGTAAAAATACGGACAAATACGGGCAGTTGGTAACACTGGGCTATGCCCCTCAGTACCCTGGCTATGCCCCTCAGTACCCTGGCTATGCCCCTCAGTACCCTGGCTATGCCCCTCAGTACCTCAGTACTACTGTATCTTGCTTACACAATGGCACATGAACTGTCACTCATACCCGGTCCATACACCTACACTGAATGTCAGCCTTTGGAATAATTATTTCAAATTTGTTCTATGGGTTGCGACCAGTTACTGCATATTATACATATGTATGGTCAGCGGCTAATGTTGCAAGTGCATGGCAAAGGTGAGTGGAAATGTCAGAAAGATTTGAAGATGCAGGCTGTATAGTCCGCAGTCCAAGTGCTCAAAATGTAGCCCTAAAAAAATTCCGTTCGCCACGACGGGGCACCAAGGTTTGATGTGGGGGCCTGAAAGAGGACCCCTTGAGGTACCCAAAACAGTCGAGAACTGCTTCTAGATCTGGGGCGCTCTCACGATAGAGGCGAATTTCTTCGGGGCAAATCCATGCACAAGTTTCGCGGAGCGTAAGTTTGAGCATGCATCAAACCCACTCAAAAGTTCAAATTTGAAATCTCGCACACTTCGAGTGCCACGTGGTGCGCTTCAGATGTAAAAACGTATTCCTGGACGGTACTCTGTAGAATTTAGGTTCTAGGTCGATCGGGTGTGCCTCGCCTATGCCATGGTTTCACGTATTTTGGCAATACCAACTGCAGTGATGAGCTCCTGCCGAATGCTGGCCGGCCAGGTACATGATGCTATCTCCTCTGTACCGGAACCTGAAACGAATAGAGCTCTGAAGTGTATTCACCCAATGCCAAGTGCCAAATATTCTGACAGCCTGCACGGCATCCGAGGAGTCCGCAGTTCGATGGACAGGACTCATCAATCGCTACGAGCCCCTGTTGTTGAACCAGAAGAAAAAATATGCCTGTTTTGTGGCACGCTGAAACAAATAAGCGAGCTGTACAACCAAGCAGGCGACATCTCAACTCGTGACAGTGGAAGCAGAAAAGAAATAATTGCGGAACGCTGCTGCCACACGACAAGATCAAAGGATTATGGCAGCAATCAGTTCAGCGAATCTGATCGCTAGAGAGGTACACTACCATAAGTCTTGCTATCATTCATGCACTTATGAAGAAACTCTCGCTAGGATTGTAGCAAGCAGACAAAAGACGCACATTGCTGACCTCACTGCCTCATCGAATTCCTCTGAGGATGATTTCTTCTCTGCTGTAGGCAGTGAACTACTTGATGACTGTTTTCAGGGGCGTAGCCAGGATAGTGATCAAGGTGGTTTCCTCGACGTTCCCACACAAAAGAGCATGCCTTCATTGTGGTCCTTTCATGTCGGCCGATATTTATATATTTTGTTATTACACAGACAGAAGAACGTGAAGTTGTTGTTTCCTAACTCTGAGTTTCATGAACTGAATCAATCCGATCAGACGAACATTGATACTGACCTTGGCCTGAGAGTGCTACTAATACTAAGTCCGCTGCGCTTGCCACATCCATGGTATATATCAGTACTCTCACTCTCAGGGCAGGGTCAGTATCAATCTTCGTCTGATGATCGATCTAGTTCGTGAAACTGAGAGTTACGAAACCGCAACTGCTCGTTCTTCAGTCTGTGTATTCCGCTCTTTGCCTTCGGCAAATTGAGCCGTCTACGGACAGTGGATGAACGTCACATGGTATATTTTGTTATCATAACCACAACAGCTCTACGGAGAAACATGTGGAGAACATAACGGCATAAAACAAGACATTCAAAGCGGATGATGTACATTATAAGGCTGACGTGCCGCACTGTGTAGCGTACTAACCATTCCAAAATGGCCAATCATCAGACGAAATAGTCAAGGGCAAGTAAAAACGCGTAGATTGGTTTCAGATTTAAATAAAAAACCACGTAAGTCCGAACAGGGATGGCTACAGTGTGCGATGTGTAGAGTTATGGTCCGCGCGTTATGGTCTTTCTTGAACGAGCTGCAAACCAAGATCGAATTCGGTTTTTTTTGGGGGGGGGGGTGCTTTGGCACCCCAAACACCCCTTCGTATGCCCCTGGTGTTGTTGTGGTCGCTGCGGAAGTACAGTTAAAAATAGTTCATTCCCTTTGTTTGACCATACCTGGTCTTTGGGTCGCAATATACACAGTGGTTAACTATCAGCATTGTCTAATATTTTGCGGAACTATTTCCCTAGTTTGAAACAAATTTGATGCCGCATTTCTTTATGTTTAGGTGCTGACACACACACTGCATTTTCAGCCACTGCATTGCTGTAAACCATTACGTTGACTTGCACTTGAAGTAAATGCACTCTTTCTAAGGCCGACTCCAGTGTGCTTGGCACGGGTTTTCTCATATCAGTCTCTATACACTGTGGTGGAGGTGACTCAACAGTCTCTATACATGTAATTAACTAACTCGTCTCATCAGGTTTCCTTTGTGTATTTTGTTGTCACATGTAATTCTAGAACATAATATAATTATTAGTATTATTGCTTTGAACTCATCCGTTATGCGATAGTGTGGTTGTAGGTACACACTGCAAGGTAGTACATGACATGACAACTGTGTCGCATGTTGTGTCATACTGTGCAGACTGTGCAGTACTATTTCTCCTCTCTACATGCCTATACTTCATCCAAATTCAGTAAAAATTCGTATGCTGGCTTTCCTCAGCCTCTGTGGCTCGAATACAGTTCACAAACATCGCTATGATGCTTGCAATAGCCTCAAAATTCAAATTCATGATCCAGTTGCCATGGCAACGCGTAGAAAAACAATTGTCGCGATTTGGTCAACAAAGCCCCAACACAGCTAATCAAGAGACACATGCCTGGAAAGCCCTGCTCTTGCTCTTTCATTTGGTCATGTCAAACCTTGGTGCCCTTTCGTGGCGAACGAAAAGTCACAATTCTGCACCCTGGACTGCGGACTAGTAGTCAACTCTATTACGCCGACACTAAAAAACTATCATGATTAATTTTTAATTTCTTGAAAACATGGAAATCTGTGGGCACAAGTTATGCTTTAGAGTGCACCAACTAAACCAGATTTTTGAATAGTCGTACGTGCACAATTGAGCACCAGACTGACAAGGAGTTCTGAGACATTCCACGGCATGAAAATGAGCTACTGTTTTCCATGTTTTCAATTTAAAATATTTCCTTGGCTCACCATCTGATTTCATGATTTCTTGGACAACATTATCTAGCCCTAAAGACACACTCCTGATTGCTCACAACTGCCATGCATACAACTGTGCATACAACTGGGCATACAACTGTGCATACTTTAGGAGAAAATCTTTGAGACTGTCCTCATCTTCACATTTGTCCTCATGCAAATGTCTAGGCAATAACAACTCCGAATTTCAATGAGTTCAGCAGAAAGTGACCACCGTGATCGTTTAGCGGGTGGCATGGATGCGTGCCTAGTGGGTCTTTTTTGTGTGGAATGCTGCTTAGTGTTCAGTGCTCAGTACTTTTGAAACACACCCTGTAGCAATTTATCCTCTGCTCTTTTATACAAAATGTTACAACACATCTAGCGTCACTTATTTCAGCTTGAATGTGCTGCATGTTCTCTGCCATTGTATGTATTTGTCTGCATGTCTTTCAGAGCAACATTATCACCGGACTGTGCACAGTAGCAAAGGATTTCATCCTGAGACTTGGTTCGAAACTAGCCGGTGAGGCCAACGCTAGCTTAGTCTTGTCCAAGGTGACACCGTTGATACCAATTATGTTGCAGCAAGAGTCCACAACCCCAAGAGTGTGCAACTCTGTACATGGGGGTCCGCGCGGCGGAATTCCAACATTACGTCAAAAATGACGTACACGTTCGTTGCGCTTGTACTACTCCCTGGTTCCAAGCACCGCGGAATGCGGAGTATTGTCCTCTGTGCCTCAGCAGCATGACGTAATGTTGGAATTCCGCCGTGCAGTGGGCCTACAGCAGCCAGACCCCAGTTGCACACTCTTGGGGTTATGGACTCTTGGTTGCAGTATTGAACATGGAGAGTAACTATTTTCCTGTCGGGGACTTTTTCAAGGTATAATTATACCTTTATGTGGATTCAGTGGAACATTTCAGTCTGGAAAATGGAACGTACCGTAACACCTGTAACTAAAGACCTTCATGACTTGCGACCAGCCTGGCACATGTACTATCGTCGATCATTTCACCAGGCATGGACGCGCTCAAATTCAAAATGTTCTTTGACTAGCAACTACCTGCTCAATGTGACCAGCGACCGCCTTTTTTTATGCCGAGGTCAATTTTTGATCCGTAACTAGCGGCAGCGGTGTGGGAAATAAAAGGTTCGAAGATCCTTCTTTGAAATTTTGAATATTTTCCATGGTCTTGAACGATTCTTATTCATTACCATGTGCATTCTCGCATTGAAGTTGACCAATAGGTCCACTTCTTCGCTTGTGCTGGACAACGGAGGCAGCAGAATAAAATAAAATATTCTATGGAAAATAAACAAGATACAAAAATGAAGACGAAAAAGGACACATTGATCACTGTACCACAACCAAAACAGAACCAATCGGAAGAAGAGGGGCAAAAGAGCCGCGGAAGTAGAACATTTAGTGGTACTTCAGCCAAAAAAAAAAAATCACGGTTCGCGTGAGACTCGGCCAAAGGCCCAGTTTTCCGCATCCGCAGGAACGCCACCACCCTCTTGGATCAAGGCGCAGATGCAGCTCCTAAGCGGTGGGAGATGAGTAGATCAGACCCACCACAAAGTGGTCAAAGACCGAAATCCCATTCACTGCATCCATGTTTCCCTCGTGCCAGGCCACGAGTTCCCAATTAACCGTGGGTCGCAGCACGGCTGGAAAAATCCTTCCGCTTCCAAGCAGGACTTGAACCTGGTACCCTCTGTTTCTCAATCATGGTCTTAGACCATCCCACTATGCCTGCCTGCCTACTTCAGCCAAGAGTAGATTTAATTCCATCATCCCAAGAGTTGAATGTATAGCAACAAAGAAAACGTCTAAACACACAAGGTTATGTTTAGGTGAGTCCAGATATTGCAGTTTCATCCGTCCCTTTCTAATCCTTTCCAGGCGCACGTTGACACAGACCTCGCCATTCAGCCCTGTCCGCTTTAACCTGCCTGAGTCTGTGCAAGTCCTCCAAACTCCTCAGCGTTTTGGCGTCCACTGCTTCCAAGTCAGCAGACACAATAACCGGTAGGCTGGTTGTCGGCCGCCGTCAGTCTCAAACCTATGAGGTTCTTTCTAGCGTAACGAGAGAGCTTGGAAGCTCAGGGCCCTACGCTATGCTTTTTTGCCTTGATGACCTAGACAAAAAAAAGCATAGGGATGTTATAAATTATTATATGTTTCTACTTTTTTGTTTTTAGACATAACCTGGGATTCGAACCCACACTATCGCCCTGCATGCATCCCCCGATACACTTCGCATACATACTAATTCTTCCAAGTTGCTTCACGTTATGATCTTGTATTTGAAAGCCCTATTTGAATATTCATTGTGGCCAGCCGTCTTTGATTGTACGGTACGGTACGGGAGAGGTACGGGACAGGTATGGGACAGGTACGGTCGAGGGTAATACCACACCATCTACCGCCTTGATGACGGCAAAAAAAAGAATAGGGATGTTATAAATTTTTCAAATTTCCTATTTTTTTAGGCATTACCTGGGATTCGAACCCGCACTATCGCCCTACGTGCATTCCCCCATACACTTCGCATTCATACTCATTCTTCCAAGTTGCTTCACGTTATGATCTTGCGTTTGAAAGCCCTATTTGAATAGTGCGGCCAGCTGTATGTGGCCAGCTGTGTTTGATGGTACGGTAACGGTACGGGACAGATACGGGATAGCGCCAGGCGTGACACAAACACACAAACACACAAACACCAAACGAGAGAGCTTGGAAGCTCAGGGCCCTACGCTATGCTTTTTTTGCCTTGATGACCTAGACAAAAAAAGCATAGGGATGTTATAAATTCTTATAAGTTTCTACTTTTTTTGTTTTTAGACATAACCTGGGATTCGAACCCGCACTATCGCCCTGCATACATCCCCCGATACACTTCGCATACATACTAATTCTTCCAAGTTGCTTCACGTTATGATCTTGTATTGGAAAGCCCTATTTGAATATGCATTGTGGCCAGCCGTCTTTGATTGTACGGTATGGTACGGGATAGGTACGGGACAGGTACGGGACAGGTACGGGACAGGTATGGGACAGGTACGGTCGAGGGTAATACGCACCGTCTACCGCCTTGATGACGGCAAAAAAAGAAAAGGGATGTTATAATTTTTTCAATTCTCCTATTTTTTTTCAGGCATTACCTGGGATTCGAACTCGCACTATCGCCCTACATGCATTCCCCCATACACTTCGCATTCATACTCATTTGTCCAAGTTGCTTCACGTTATGATCTTGCGTTTGAAAGCCCTATTTGAATATTGCGGCCAGCGGTATGTGGCCAGCTGTGTTTGATGGTACGGTACGGTACAGGACAGATACGGCATAGCGCCAGGCGTGACACAAACACACAAACAAACAAACACCAAATTAAAGCTGTGTGGACCCTGGCTAGCGCCAGACGTTACTGAAGTAACGTCTTCTGCATAGCTACGGGAATTAAAGCTGTGTGGACCCTGGCTAGCGCCAGACGTTACTGAAGTAACGTCTTCTGCATAGCTACGGGAATAATTAACCATTGCTTGGACGGCTGGTGTGTTATTGCGGAGGACATGCGAATGGCTTCCATTGCGATATACTTATAGGGAGACTAATCAGCTGGCTTTTGCATCGAGCTTGTAGTGCATTATTCAATATTGTCTGAGACCAACTGATGCCTATAGGTGACCTCAGTTGATGGTGGTGGAAAGAGTCCGGTGGCTCCTGAGCTATGTTGGTGATTGCCCACGTACCGGAGTTGTAAATCGGTACGGGATGATAAAGGCTTGGTGTAGCCATAGGCAGAGCTTTTTGCTGATTTGCTAGCTGCGCTTCCATAGGTTCCACAGGTGCTGGAAGGCAGCTTTCACCAGTTGCTTCCTCCTCAGTACATCAAAAATCACACTTCCAAGTTTTCACTTCCAAGTTTTCATGTCAACCTCCGTTCTTCTTTGTTGGGATCATTGAGTCTAGTGATTCCTGTGTACTCCGTTTTGCCATGATTCATGTTGAGCGACCATTGCACCAGGGTAGAACTCGCCGTAGCTTCTAGTTGAAAGAGCCACGATCGACTGGTGCTTACGAAATCTGTGTCATCAACATCAATGAGCGAGCATGGGGGCCTGGGAGTTGCTTCCTTCTCAGTTGCCGTAATGCTGCTTCCAGATATACCATAAAGTGTACCGGTGAAAAGGAGTCACCCTGCAGTGTGCCAATTTCCGTCTGAAATATTGGCGATGACGTTCTACCAAGGTGGAAATGAAGCTTTGTTTCCGAGAGTAGATATTGTATCATACGCAGCTGGTCCCCTCGTTCACAACCTCCTTCAGCGCACTCATCCACTGATCATGCCCGATAGTGTTGAATGCTTGTGGTAGATCGATTCCGAGGACGGGAGTATCCCAGTGAAAGCGTTGGGCTTTGGCAGCCAGCCATATGTGCGCAAAACAACTTAATGAGCGACGATGCTTTCCTGAGTGATGTAAGTAGCCCTATGGGCTAGAGAGATTCTTTTGATACTGCAACTTAACAAATGGACGCGGGTTCATCTGGCTGTGAGTGTGACCTGCACTGCACCTGTCATGCTTTCAAGTGCTTTCAAGAACAAACATGATAGAAAACGTCCTTGAGAGCGCATTGAAAGCGTTCTCTCGTCGAAGATACTGCTCGAAGGAGAATCGAAGATTGAGCTGCTCTGTCGAAGTGCAATTGCATACCCCAGGCGCACAGATGAGCACTGCAGTGCTAGCATGCTACGGTACATTGCAGAGTGGCTTGGCTACTGTGGGATGAATGGATGCTAATAAACTTAGTGATTTCATCAACAAATTTGAAGCCCAGCGCCAAGCCGAACTTGCACAGGGCCTAGGGAGCACTTGGCTCCTGGCTTCTGAAGTAGCAACTGAATTTGATATCAGTGATAAAACATAATTTTCTCCCTCTAAGTGTTGCGTGGTCTGAAATAAGAAAGGCATGCGCAAGTGGTGGGGAATTGTTAGCTGCGCTTTGACATACATAACCTTATAATAATGGAATACACACATGTATATAGCAACGCGGCTTAAACCTCCAACTAAAGACCACCTGCCACTAAAGACCGCTTTTTCTCTACAAGGGATGGTCTTTAGTCACAAGTTTTACTCTACCTTGTATTGGATGCACATAATGCCTGCCTGCCGCTTTGCCATTCTTCACCCTGCGTTGTTTCCTGTGTACCCACTGTACAACACCTCCTCTATAGAATGTGGAACTGTTACCGTCATTGGGCATTGGCAGAATGCTATTACAGCAGCTTTGCTGGACCAAGGAGCATGGCACTTAGGAAGGTTTTTGCATCTAGAAGACATGGCCTTTTCTTAAATTCCAACTCAAGTTATTCATTCCAAGATCTGAAAAACATGGCAGTGACACTCAAGATTGCGAAACTAGAAATCAAAAGCCATCAATTTATGGATGGAGGTTGTGTTGTCTCTAACAATAATGTTAATGAAGGCTTCTTCCCGGGGTCTACTTTCAGAGTGGAATTGTACACTTTATGCTGTTTGTGGTATGTATGATTATCACTGTTCAGGGTTGGTGGTATCAGGTGGATACACTTTGAAAACATTGCTATCCATGCTGCGGAGTGTGCCTACATCTGCTACTGGTGGAGCGGTGCAACGGTTTGATGTGGTGGGAGAGATTAGTTCCTGCACACCTCTACTACGTGCAGTCGGGTATGTACCTATACATGCAGTCGGGTATGTATGTTTATGTGTGGGTATACATGTATATGTCTGATTATGTGTGTGTGTGTGTGTGTGTGTGTGTGTGTGTGTGTGTGTGTGTGTGTGTGTGTGTGTGTGTGTGTGTGTGTGTGTGTGTGTGTGTGTGTGTGTGTGTGAGAGAGAGAGAGAGAGAGAGAGAGAGAGAGAGAGAGAGAGAGAGAGAGAGAGAGAGAGAGAGAGAGAGAGAGAGAGAGAGAGAGAGAGAGAGAGAGAGAGGGAGGGAGGGAGGGAGGGAGGGAGGGAGGGAGGGAGGGAGGGAGGGAGGGAGGGAGGGAGGGAGGGAGGGAGGGAGGGAGGGAGGGGGGAGGGAGGGAGGGAGGGAGGGAGAGAGAGAGAGAGAGAGAGAGGGAGAGAGAGAGAGAGAATGTGTAGTGTGTTGTTGTTGCTGCTGCTGCTGATGCCACTGTTGCTGTCGTTGTTGCTGTCGTTGTTGCTGTCGTTGTTGTTGTTGTTGTTGTTGTTGTTGTTGTTGTTGTTGTTGTTGTTGTTGTTGTTGTTGTTGTTGTTGTTGTTGTTGTTGTTGTTGTTGTTGTTGTTGTTGTTGTTGTTGTTGTTGTTGTTGTTGTTGTTGTTGTTGTTGTTGTTGTTGTTGATGTTGTTGTTTTAGCTGCTGCTGGTGTTGTTTCAGCGAGCATGTATAACTATACGAACCATGCATCCATCTAATCTCTGCGCTCTTAGTCGTATTCTCTTTTTTGCTTTCATTTACTCATACACCCTCGTTCCCTTGCACATACACCCTCGTTCCCTTGCACATACACCCTCGTTCCCTTGCACATACACCCTCGTTCCCTTGCACATACACCCTCGTTCCCTTGCACATACACCCTCGTTCCCTTGCACATACACCCTCGTTCCCTTGCACATACACCCTCGTTCCCTCGCACATACACACACGCGCGCGCGCGCACGCGCACACACCCACCCACACACACATACACACACACACACACACACACACACATACACACACGTCCTGTCCTGTCCTGTCCTGAACATTGCCTTTTCCGGTTACATGTCCCCTCGTGTGAGGGGCCGACAGACATGGAGAGTTGGGTTGAGGCGCTGTGTCGCATCAACGTCCTAGCAAGATTTCCTAGCCATTTCATTGATCCATTTGTTGCAGTTGTGTAGCTGGAATCCTCGGGTTGACTTGCAGCAACGATCGCATTGGCTGCAGTGGGCTCTGCAGCAAGGTAGGGCGAGCCGCTGGCGGGTGTCACACGATGGTCCAGCAGCGGTGGCTTGGCCGTGCACTGGAGTAGCAGATGGGGGCATATCCAGGCATTTGTGGACGGCCAGTCCGCCAGGGCTGCGAAACCAGCGAAGACATGCGGTGCATTGCCTGCTGCCAGCCTGGTCTGCTACGGGTTTGCGACGCTCTTCAGTGCACTTGTGGCGTGGCAGGCCGCTCTTCGAAAGGGATCTGTTACAGATATTGCACTGAATCCGTTCACGAGAGGCCGGCTGTGATGGTGAAGCAGTTCTGAATACTGTGCGCCACTCTCCCCGCTGCTGCGCGGTGTCGAACCAATCTCCTTCCAGGTGGAGGTGACACACACGTACACACACACACACACACACACACACACACACAAACACACACACACACACGGCAAATGTAAATACAGTCGTCCCTCTCTAATCCGGCACTTTATAATCCAGCACCCTCGATAAACCAGCACAATTTTCAGTAGCCAAAATGTCCTCTTCATGCACATTGCAGCAGTAAATCAGATTTGTTAATCCAGCACCCTCCCTAATCCAGCAGATTTTCGTGGCACAAATGGTGCCGGATTATAGAGGGACCACTGTACAACCTATGCATTGAAAATTCCTGTGTCGTGTGTTGTCACCTGCATGTATATACAATATATTGCTGTACAGTGGACAGCTGGATAACCAGCTCATCGTCACAAAGGGAGGTCGACTAGGTGGTGATGACGCATTTCTGCAAGCGTATCTCAGACTAAAGAAAAATGGTAGGAGTGCTGGCACTGGGTGACATGTGCTATGTGATGCTTGTTACTGTTACTGCTAATTGACTGTTACAAGCAGATGTTGTCTATTGGGCTCCCTTGCCAACCTGTGGGAACATGGGTTTGAGTTAATATATCCAGCTCCCTTGACTGCTTGGGTGGATGTGGGTGTGTGGGTATCATATCGCGGCGCGGGGTATGTGGGCGTGCAGGTACGTTTTTATGTGGGTGTGTGTGTATGTGGGTGTGTGTGTATGTGGGTGTGTGTGTATGTGGGTGTGCGGGTGTATGTGTATGTGGGTGCTCGGAGTGGGTGTGTGGTTATGTGGTTATGTGGTTATGTGGGTATGTGGGTGTGTGGGTATGTGGGTCCCCCCCCCCCCCGGTGTATGTTACACCAATAACCCCCTGTGCATATAGATGAGCGCTTTTTGTGCTCTTTTTTATGGAATTAGGGGCCGTCCTTAATTATCGATCTTTTACACGACGAGAAAAAGTTTCGTTTATATGTGGGTGGGTCAAGGGGAGTTTCGTTTTGAAAAATATTGATAGATGAGACATCAAGGCATTCTTGCTGTCAAGTCAATCTATTTTCGTTCGGGGGGGGGGGGGGGGGGGTCGTAACTAAATTGTTTCGTTTCGTGAAAATTATCGATAATGCCGGAGGGCCTTAGGAACTTAATTGTTTTCCATGTAAAAAGGTGCAAAAATTGGCTTTCTCTCTGTTTGGCAGACAATGTTGAGCAATGCAGCAGTGCACATACTTTTTGTACAAGACTCTACCTACATGGCACACTGTTAGGCTGCAGCAATGGGCAAGGCAGAGTGCAAGGCAGAGTGCAAGGCAGAGTGCAAGAATGAGTGTGACTATCAGTCACCTGCTTCATGAAACATTCCCAGGCTGTTGTATGGCGACGGATGACACTCAAGTTATCCCTCTTTGTTCTATTTGTTTGCTTTCACAATAGATACACATGTTTCCCAGGCACCTATGGACACATCACAGCGACCTGTATTGGCTATTACAATGGGCGACGTGGCTGGTATCGGACCAGAGATTGTGGCCAAAGTGCTGAGTCTGGCTGAAACTTGGCAGCTGTGCCGGCCAATCGTTGTCGGCAGCAAGCAGGCATTGGCGGCAGCCAACAAGATAACTGGCGGTACAATCGAGCCACTAGAGGTTAGTTTTCACTTACCAGGGCTGTCCTTGCAAGCACAGTCGTGGATCCCGCAGCCACTTGCCAGTGATGTCTTTGCAAGCGCAGTGGTGGGTCCAGGGGGCGCGAGAATGGCAAACACTATGCCCTTGCTCGGAAAACGGAACATAGAGATGCTATGACATGAACGCTGAGTCTTTACTTTCATATTTCTATACTGGATATGAGAGAGGCACACACACACACCGTGATGGGTGTATTAAGGCTCTCACTGCACACACGGGATCTAGTGGAAGGAAGTTGGTGCATCTGTTCACAGGATTTCATGCTGGTACGCAATGTCATACAATGTTACGCAATGTTACACAATCATCTGGAGATATCTAAGTGAAACTTGTTATGAATGTTGTTGATGCATGCCAATAGGTGCATAGTGCAAGTGACATCGACTGGACCTCCATTAGTTCATTCTTGGTAATCACAGACAGTGGATCAGTAACCCAGGGCCGTGTGCCAGTGATCACCAACGTAGAATGTGCCTATGAGCAGATTGCTCTTGGAAAGGTGAGCAGCCCCTCCTCAGAGTCCCCCCCCCCTCCCACCAACACTGCTTGCTAGTATAGGTATGTTTTGAGTTCAAAGTTGTATAATCGCAATCGTTTGAAGTACTCTGGTGTTCCCCTTCCATGTAGCATAGGTGTGTTGTATGGGCTGGTAGTTGAGTGCTAATTACAAGTATATTCTAGCAGAACTGACCCTGGGCCCCAGATTATGTAGCAGGCTTGCAGAGTATCAATGTCTGCACATCAGTGAGACAAGCATCACCAGCAGACCAGACGTATGGGACTTGGGCCATGTCAATTGTCGATCTCCTCTCCCCATGGATTATTCTTTGTATGTGTACAAGTAAAAATGCTCCTTTTGTTAATGTTATCTATAATATATACTGCAGGTGTCGCCATTGGCAGGTCGTTGTGCAGCCGAGTGGGTGATCAAGGCCGTGCAGCTGTGCGTCAGTGGAGAAGCTGACGCAATCGTCACTGCACCACTCAACAAAGAGTCCATGAACAAAGCTGGCTATGCATATGCTGGGCACACGGAGTTGCTGGTAAGTCCGGAAGGAGAAACAAGAGCTCAGGAAGAAAGGATATAGTAGATGCATCTGGCCCAAGTAGCTGGATCTGTCACCCCCCCCCCCCCCCCCCCCTGGGCCCCGACACAACCATCGATGACGTAACTTACGGGTGATTGAACTAAAAAATTATTTAAATACCAGGTAGATGAAGTGGTTGTGAAGCACGCCGAGCTCCTTTTACACACACTCCACTTCTCTACGCAGCACAGGTCTGCATTCGAGGTTGATTGATTCAAGCATCTTGCCAGCACCACTGGTGTCTTGTCGTGGTGTCTTGTCGTGGGTGGGGCAACAGAACTGGTACATTGTGCTGAATGTATCCGCCTTTCCATCAGCTCTTATTTCTCAATGCTGCTCTGAAAATTCAACTTCACTTCAGGAGATTATGCCACCCCAGAACGTTGACAAGATACTTTTCTATACCTCCCGAACTATGCAGCAACCTGAACCAGCTGTTCAGAGTGCAATAGCAGATGATGACATTATGCTTTATCACTTTCTCACTGGCGTCTACTCATACTTGTACTGCTTATAGATTAAAATTATTGTGATGATGTGATTATAATGGTTTAATGTGTGCATGCATCATGTCGTACTTTGTGGTACAGGCCAAACACAGTGGAGCACGCACATCACGGCTAATGCTAGCTTCAGAGAAGCTGAAGGTACATCTTTCCTTATTCCTTAAGGTCATTATTAGCTCTGTGCGGTACATGTATGTTCACAACCCGGCGACCTTTTAATGTCGCCAAGTTGTAAACAAACTAAGAAGTTGTAAACGTATCGTGCAAAGTTCTTTTTAATTTTTAATTTTAACTTCGGCCAGCGTGACTACTTCAAAGTACTACAGTAATCACTTCGTCTTGGGGGTTACCCGGGTTACCCGGGTTACCCGGGTTAGACATGCCGGGGAAGTTGCCATACTGATAAACTGGGGTGGTGAGCCCGCCTTTCAGCACCGGGAATACAGCTCGGGAATACAGCTCGCTCGACTCGTCTCTGCTGAGTGAAGAGGACCCACACCTTGATCTGGTGAGCTGCGTCGTGGGGATTTTGCAGTCAGATGTGCGACCGCAGGGCTCAAACCTGCGACCTCTCGGTGCAACGTTTTCAAAATCCATAGCGGCTGATCGAGAGGAATCTGGCCTCATAAAAGTAGTTGTTGCTACTTTTCAGGGGCGTAGCAGCTGGTCCGACCGGTCCGACCGGTCCGACCGGTCCGACCGGTCCGACCGGTCCGGCTTTGGCAGGACCACGTTTTTTTAACTTCATAAAAGTGCCCAGAATGCAGAATTTTGCACCCTAATTTCAAAATTGTCCCGCGGGGAGACCTTTTTGCCCCACACCCCTCCGGCCGGATCGCCCCCAACGGTGGTGCTACGCGCCTGCTTTTGTATGTGTGGCTTCGAATCTCGGTTCTGACAACATGTTACATCCATGACAAGTGGGAAGCCTCGGGCAAAGTGACTATATTTCCAAAGCTATGCAAAAAAACGCTGCTTTAGTAGCGTTTGGCTCTAGCCAGGGTCCACAGCGGTTTCGTTCGGTATGTGTCTGTGTGTTTGTGTTGTCGGGCATGTCTGGCGCGCCTTGTCGTACTTGTACCGTAGTGCTGTGTGTACATTTGTTACTATCCCGTACGTATCTCGTACCGTCAAAGACACTGAGCTGGCGACATATCTAATTACCATGTAGGTGTTTCAACGCCAGGCCAGGATCATATTTAATGAGAGGGCTTGAAAGCTCAGGAGCCCTCACTGTGTTTTGTTTTACCTAGGTAATCACGTGTGCTATTAGAACTGATAGAAACGTCTTTGCAATACAAAAACATATGCTCGATAATCGTGCAAAGACGTTTCTTAGGCTGTGTTTACATGAGACTTTTCAAGCCGGGTTGAAAGTCTGTACAGTGAGAAAAATAGGTGGGTGTTTGCATGAAGACAGTTGACCTGGGGCACTTACTGGTATGCCGACAAACAAAAGTCCACTTCTAGAATCCCGCATGGTCACGTGACTGCTTTTGCGCGAAATTTGCCTGTGCAGTGTGTACAGTATTGTTTATTCCTCCTGTCCAAACCAGTCCAAACCAGTCCAAACCTGTCCAAACAACCAGCTATGTAAGTATGGCGCGAAATACACACCGAAGTATGGTAGTATGATTTCTCGATTTCAACCCGGGTTAAGTGCAATGCGTCATGTAAACGCTCCAATCTATCTGCGTACAAGGCGGGTTGGAATTTGGCCGGGTCGAACTCGACCCGGGTTGAAACGCCTCATATAAACACTGCCTATTAGTTACCCTGTAACCCTTTTTTTCCGTTTTCCAAAATTGTATTACCACAAAGAATGCAACGACCCCGACTTCACCCCAGATAGGTGTGCTTTTATGAACCATCGGTTACTGACTATCGACTGCACTTTCATTGAATGGCCTGAAAAAAACACCAAAAATCGACAAATGAGTAGGGGGCCAGGGTTTTTTTTACAGGGGCACTCAATCAGAGTAGGGGGGGGGGGGGGGGGCTCCAGTCCCCCCCCCCCCTACTCCTTTGCCAATAATAAGTACAGGGTTCTAGCCAAAGGGGTAGGGGGGGTGCTACCCCCCCCCCCCCTACCCCTTTGCCTTTGGCTAGAACCCTGTACTTGTTATAGTTATGGAGTGAAGTAACCTATTGCATGAGATAAGTTACGTAAGCATGACTTGCTGGCTTGAGTCAATGCGTATTTCCAATCCTCATTGCAAGAGCAATGCCATTGCTCAGGTCTCGGGTTCTTGGATTCTCTGCTTCTTCTTTCTGATGACAGGTAGTTCATGCTACCGGTCACTGCAGCCTGGCTGATGTTCCTAGCAAACTCACTGTAGAGCGACTGTCTGATACGATTGTCATGGCTGGCGAGTTTCTTCACCAGCAGGGCATGGCAAAGCCGCGCATAGCAATCGCTGGCCTCAATCCACATGCCGGCGATGGAGGTGAGAAGTTGAGAATTGTCCGTTTACTTGATACCAATGACGTATAAGATTTCCGGTGGCTGGGGTGCTGGTCCTTGACAGTGATCATCTAGGTATGGCATGCAGTAGACTGGTAACGTGTAGAATGACTGTCTTGCCCCCAGGCTTACTTCACTGTAGAATGACTGTCTTGCCCCCAGGCTTACTTCACTGTAGAATGACTGTCTTGCCCCTAGGCTTACTTCACTGTAGAATGACTGTCTTGCCCCCAGGCTTACTTCACTATAGAATGACTGTCTTGCCCCCAGGCTTACTTCACTGCTCAGAGCCTTAGACGGTGTTACACGTGACATCTCAAGCCCCAGACCCTTCATCACTGATGTGTGATACCCATGTTGAAGGTGGACGGAATGGGGCATGCACACTGCTGTCACTGGAGAAGCGTATCGTTGCCTCTCACCAGGTTTGCACGGGTGTAAGATGATGTTCAGTAAAATGGTCTGTGTTGCATGACTCCCACACTTGGGTCACATGACTGTCACACTTGGGTCACATGATTCCTACACTTGGATCACATGACTTCCACATTTGGGTCACATGACTGCCACACTTGGGTCACATGACTTCCTATGCTTGGGTCACTTGACTCCTACGCTTGTGCGGCAACACCATAATAAGTATGTGCAGCCCCCCCCCCCCCTCCCCAATGTGTCATTCCATTCTACTTCTGTGCCCTTGCCTCTAGGTCTGTTTGGAGATGAGGAGCGTACAGTTCTGGCGCCGGCAATAGCTAAGTGCCGTGCACTCGGCCATAGCTGGACTGTTAGTGATCCTATTCCATCGGACACTCTCTTCTGTCGCACACTGAAAGGAGAGTTTGACATTGTGGTAAGTTGCATAGCCAGCAATCGCATGTCATCTCGTACATTGAAAATCAACATAATTTTGCGAATCGACCTTTTTTTCGGGATCACTTTTCAACGAGGACGAAGCAAAGTCGGCCGAACGAAGCCTAGAGGAAGAAAATCACCCTCTCCACTTCACTATCACGATACTGACATAGATACGAGATGAAACAACTAAAAAATCCACAAGAAAACTGTACGACCATCATCGCGATGAAGTTTGGTCTGAGAATTTCTATCACGATCAAAAATGTACGAGGAGCACTCAAAAATCAGCCACAGACGTACCTTTATCGCTCTCTACTCCTTTTTCAAGGCACAAAAGTCGACTCTCCACTTTCAAACCAGGAACCAGACATACCAGTGGTCTTTTTCAGCTGCTCCACGAGCGCAGGAAATGTTCACCAAGGGGCGCAGAGCAGCTTCCATTCCAGAAAAAATAGCTAAAATACGAGTGAGACTGCATGCCTGAGTACATGTATGAGTACATGCAGAAAATAGTCAATTTCAGCGTTTCTGCTCCAAACAGCAACTAGCTTCGACTAGAAACAAAGATTACACCAAAGGATCAAACAACAACCATTTTCTGCAGTTTTTTTGCAGATGGCTTCCTTGTGCTTGGCCCAGCACGCCAAAAATCACACCTCGGAGGAGTACAAAAATTACAACTCTCAAATGTCCTCGATTGCTGGCCATGGGAAGGGTGGGGGGGGGGGGGTACCATGTGCCTGCATGTGCAGTGATAGCCATGAGGAGCAAAAGGTTGCAACTCCGAATTTTTCGCTTGCACAAGCATCACTCCGAGTTGCAACCGACCTAATCTCGGCTGCTCAGGCATGTCAGATGATAGAGTGCCATCTGGACATGTCTGAGAGCATTCCGAATGAATAACACCGGTACTAGTTAGCAGGTGCTAGTGTTGGCGTGTTGGTGTTGTAACGTTTGAAATGTGGCATGATGATCAGTGAGCATTCCCTTTGTCCCTTGACCCCCCCCCCCCCACCACTTGTTACTGGTATGTTCCCATTGTGTGTTGAGCACTGATGTAGCTATGTATCATACATTGTGTGTTGAGCACTGATGTAGCTATGCATCCATTGTGTGTTGAGCACTGATGTAGCTATGTATCGTCCATTGTGTGTTGAGCACTGATGTAGCTATGTATCATCCATTGTGTTGAGTGCACACAGTAGGCAGGCTTAGCCCCACTTAACGGATACGGGAACGTGGATGATACACATAAAGTTCATGCAATGGACCCAGGTTGGCAATGTTGTATTTAGTCACACGGAACAACGGAACAAACAGAGGTCATGATGCAGCAAAAGGCCCAAACTTGGCCAAAGACAAAGCTTCGAAGCTCATCGAATATGTTGATTCCGTGCTTCGAAAACTTCTTTAGCTGAGCACACTCACAGCTTGCACAATGCGCTCCATTCTGATTTCCACTAGCGTTCTGGCGGAACGTGGGTGAGCCTCCATACACGGTATGTGGTGTATCAGAAAATGGCTGTACGTGAGTCACTGAGTAGCACGTGGTACACACACGTAAAGTACACACGGACTACGTGGGACTAAACATCCCTACTGTGTGTTGAGCAGATAGCTATATATCATCCACTATGTTGTGTGTACACATATTGTGTGTTGAGCAGATAGCTATGTATCATGATCAGGGCCACATTCCCGCTAAGCTAACAGATTTTGGAAGCACAGTGAATGTGACGCTTGGATTGCCCATCATACGGACCAGTGTTGATCACGGCACAGCATTTGGTAAGTTAGTGAACGTCTGTATGTGTATGTGTGTGTGTGTGTGTGCGCGTGCGTGCGTGTGTGTGTGTGTGTGTGTGTGTGTGTGTGTGTGTGTGTGTGTGTGTGTGTGTGTGTGTGTGTGTATGTGTGAGCACATGTGTGTATGTACAGTGTGCATGTGCGCATGTACATGTACATGTGTGTGTATGTGTCAATGTATATAATGTGTGTGGGGGTCGATGTGTACATGTGTGTACATGTGTGTACATGTGTGTACATGTGTGTACATGTGTGTACATGTGTGTACATGTGTGTACATGTGTGTACATGTGTGTACATGTGTGTACATGTGTGTACATGTGTAATCGTGAGTGCGTGATAGCCTACTGATAGGTCTGCATGTCTGGCTGTGCAGTCTACGCAGGCTATGCACCATAGTATCAGTGTAGATGCATTCTTGGTCCTGCAAATGGTCATGGGCAGTGAATTATCCGAAAATGCGCTGCAAAGCTTCTTCTGAACTTGTTTGCACAAATTTATCAGGCGTGCAAAGTACTACCTTTTCCTGGACAATTGCCGTCCGTGCTGTCCGTGCACTCACCCAATAGGCAATAGGGCTTGAAGGCAATGACATCAGTAGTACAAAAAATACTGTGTCTTAGTCAAAGTGGACCTACTCTGACCATAAAAGGAAGTTCAGTATGTGATGGAATATGGTGGGCAGGTCGATTGTGTAGCATGCACGTGTGAATGTTCTATAGCAAGAGGCAGTTCTGGATGGGTAGGGCCCAGTCCTCCAGTCACTACCAGAGTCACCCTACTGTGACGGACAACCACACAAACTGACTGAAATGTTTGTGGATACGTACAAAAAGCAGCGGCGGATCCAGAGTTCAGCTGAGGGGAGGGCGCGGGTAATACTCATGACAGGGAACCCATGCGGTACATGTATTTTGTACACATTACGACATAGAAGGCAATCATTCTGGCAACGGCATCCTTATGGTACTGGACGGCCTCGTGGTCCACCGCTTCACCGCACGTGTGCTTGAAGTCACTATGTACCTTGCTGATGAAGTATTCACCTCTGGTTGATCCTAGTCGATGCAATGTAGGAAACAGGACGCACGGCGCACAAAAAAACGCCTTCCTCGCCAGCCTTTCCGGAATAGGCAAGCCCCTCAAACCTGTCAAACCACTTCAGTAGCAGCGAGCGAGTGGAAGTACCTGTCTTTCGGCGGCTGTCGGGATAATCCCTAGATGGCAACACCGTCTGCTTATCAGGCTTCCGGTTCCCAGGTATGTTGCGCTTTTCTGCATCGCTGAGAGTTGCACCACCAATAGCTGCATCAACAGCATCCGAGTAACTTCGCTGCGTAGCAGTGCCACCAGCCACATTCGTGACAGTCACAACGTCATCATCTGCGATAGTTTCAACAGGTAAACGCTCCTGACTCGCATCACTACTACTGACAGTCCCACCATCGTCGTCAGAATCTACTTCGGATTCCATTTGGGGAAGATCAGAGTCTGAGCAGACCTCGATCTCAGGATCTTTGCTGTGGTCCGAATTCTCCTCCAAAGACAGATCGCTCGACTGAGCAGCTGACGAAGCGCAAGTTTGCTTTGCGAAAAATCCGTGGAGAGTTTGTTGGCTCCCTGGCCGCTTGGGCGGGCGGTGCGCCATCCCCTTCACCGACTTAGCTATACAAGTTCGTCAACTGAACACTAATTTCAAAACTAAAAGTCAACCAAAGTCTAAGGGCATGTTCGATTGGTAGGATCAGGATCCCGATCCACCGGATCCACTGGATTCGTACCCTTTCGATTGGTCGAATCCGGATCCGGATCCTTCGGATTTGGATCCGGTCAACCCACCTCGGGGAGCAGGGTTGACCGAATCCAACGGATCCAAATGTGATCTTTGTGCGTATATGGCGGGTAAAAATCATTTTTGTACACATTGTGGTACCCACACGTGGATGGAGATAGAGCTTGTTGACTTTTTGTACGACGCACGCGATGAGTACGACGTTCACCCTTTTGGGTGACTTGTGACCGCCATTGTCAACATGGCAACAGTCAAGGTCCATAATAAAGTGTTCAGTTGAATCTGAAGGATCCGACGGATCTGAGATCTGGATCCCGATCCTTACCAATCGAACGTGCCGTGAGAGAACAACTATTCCGTGTTCAGAAGAACTTTCTTATCGGACACTAGAAACTACTTGTCACAGCATGTGCAAACACTTGCGCAACTGCCCACGTGCACGCACTAAAAAAATCGAAATATTTGAGGGGAGGGTGCGCGCCCACCGCGCCCTCCCCTAGATCCGCCTCTGCTTTAAAAGAGATCCAAGTGGGTCCAAACTGAATCAGCATTGAGATAACTCTGGGCTGGCTGTGGTGACGCAGCCTCACTTTCAAGCCCTATACTATGCAATAGACAATGTAAGAGAGTAAGCAAGACTGCAAGACTGCAAGACTATGGCTTTGATTCAAACAACTACAAGTTTATACTAAGGTCGGGACCTCAGTCTCCAAACACCTGATGGTCAAAGATCACCGCAGAAATGCTAGGCCAATATCCCCAGTCCCCGCATAACCTCCACACATACACGTACATGTAGTACGTTCATAGAATAGATCAGTCCAGCAAGGAAATGTGCTCACTTAGCTCAGTCCCGAAGGTGGTTGCATTTCCCTGTGTAGGTGCGGATTTTGCAGTCAGCTGCTTTCTTCTTGACTGAATCATCTTTATTCTGTTTGTCTCTCTGTCTCTCTGTCTGTCTGTCTCTCTGTCTCTCTGTCTCTCTGTCTCTCTGTCTGTCTGTCTCTCTCTCTCTCTCTCTCTCTCTCTCTCTCTCTCTCTCTCTCTCTCTCTCTCTCTCTCTCTCTCTCTCTCTATCTCTCTCTCTCTCTCTCTCCCATTTTGTGCAGACATCGCAGGCAAGGGTATAGCAGATTCAGCAAACCTCCTCCATGCCATCCGCCTGGCAGCTAGAATGGCAAGGAAATGATGGTGGTGCGTGTAGCCGGCCGCCTATGTGAGTATCAGCCGGGAACGTGTGACACTGCACGGATACCAGTGACTGATGGACAATAAGTCATACTCACTGACCAGAGTCCTCATGATTTCATTTTCCTACTTTACATTACTCTCTTTTCTCTCATTCAAGCGATTGTTCAGCAAAGACAATGCTACATGTATGGTCACGGCATTCTGTGGGCTGGTACACTTCAATCAGTGACAAACATGCAAGAGAATACAGTGGGACCTGAAACCTGCGCCCGCTCAATGTACAGTGTACTAGCCAAATGTACTAGCCGAATCAGCTCTCATTTCAAAGGCGTCCTATGATTGAAGATTGAAGGCTGATAATTTGTACCTCCGAGCCAAGGTGCTGCCTAAAGGTGTCCTCGAATTCTAGGCATCGGAATTTCCCAAGTGTCCTTTCTGAGGATAACAGTTAGGCCCCGCTGTGGTAGTAATGATCCACGTACTCCATGTACGGATAGTGTGCTGGATTGTGTAGGTTGTATGCACATGCTGGACCACGTCAGCCTCAGGTTATCTATTCTCATCAATATCTCAATATCAACTCGTGATGGAAATGACTGTGAATCGTACTTTTGTTACCAAGGATGGTGATTTGCCAAAATTGATGAGTCCAGCACTAGTTCATAGCTGTTCCCTGGACTCCAATCTTGTTCACGGTCATTTTTGATTGCAGTTTGATGATCACATCTAAGAGTATCCCATCCACTGCCGGTGTGGTTTTCAGGCCGTCATTCTTGAACACGTCTACATGGTCCAGGAGTGCCATGATGCCCCTGCGTCTTGTTCTAGCCCTGCTTCGTTTGCGATGTTCTGCTTTTAAAATTTCTTTGTATTGAGTGACCACTGACCAGCAATATAGAACAACGCACATGATGATGTATTCTAATGACCACCATTAACTTCAGCAACGTTTGTCTCAAGACATTAAAATGTAAGGAGGATGGTGGTCATGAGACTATGTCATCATTTGGGGTGTTTTCAGTGTATTGCCCGCATCATAAGCACTGGCTGGTCACTCAATGCAAAGATGATGATGTCATTGACGTAACCACTTACGTGTGACTATCGGCCAGCAATGCAGTGCGTGTCTGGTCCCATACCCTCGGGAATATAATTATAAGCATGTTCTTGCAGTACTTGGAGTACAACCAAAAGGCAAAGTACTTCACAACAAGTTTCCTGGCAGGGCTCAGTTGAGGGTTACACCTGGGATATGGGTAGATATTGAAAGTACTCCTAGTCCAGACGTTCTGCCACGATGGCGCGATGGCGGGGCAAAACTGTCCGATAGAGGGGCATATGAATTGGAACGAAATCTGTTGCAAGCGGGCAAGCATCACCAAAAACCGAGGACCTTTCCTAACAAAAAAGCGACCAGGTTTTCTTGTGCTATCCAAGGACACGTCTATAGCCGTGGGCTATTCGGCAGTTACACCCGTTTGGTTGAGAGGCTCATCTCCTCTCCACTGACTCCGAGGCACTTGTGAAGTTGTGCATTTGACACTAAAAAATATCAATTGCACAATTTCGCAAGTGCCTCAGAGTCAGTGGAGAGGAGATGAGGCTTTCAACCAAACGGGTGTGTAACTGCCGAATAGCCCTAGGCACAAGAAAATCCGTCACGTGACATAGCGACGAACTTACTTGGTCCACAGTATGCAGTGTGGTTTGTAGTTCTGGTTGTTTGCGTTGCTGGATATGAACTGAAAGAAAAAAAAATTATAGTTCATGTGTTCCGAGTTCACGTACATGAGGCTAATTAATTAGTAGCAGAGCCGGGGTAAACGTTGAAGTGGAGTTCGCTTTTCTTTAGGAAAGGTAGACTGCTTGATCAACCGAATCTCTTTGCTACACTGTCGAAGAAGACCGAGAGAAAAAGAGTCGGAGAGATCTGACTTTGAGTATTGCGGAAAGTGTGGTAATCATAGTCTAGGGAAAGCAGCATCCAGGAGTTTGGCTCAACACTATCTGGAAACTTATCATTCAAGGGCTGCTTCTTTTGCCCGTTCATATCACGGTATGAGCGGAGAATCTTTTGACATCTTACTTTGAAGCACTGTAGTAGCATGACATGGTTTGGGGCATGATGGCATGATGGGGCTAAAAACATGCACCTGTACGTTTGTGGGAAATTTGTGCCCCCTCCCCTCCCCTCCCCTCCCCCTCCCTTTGATCATGATCCTGGCTACGCCCCATCTTCGGTCCTACCATCACCTTCAACCTTCCCGGGAAGCGGCTGTTGGTTTGGGAGCTGGAGATTGTGTGTGAGAGCTAGGTGTCAGGTCGTTGCCAACGAAATATCTGAGCAGTCTATCCGTTTTGTGCTTAGCTATCACATTTTCTGACTGTTTGTATTATCTTCACAGTTACAGTAGTGGACAGCACTACTGTTCTCATAACTCATACCCATGTGCCCGTTTTCATTTTATACACGGCAGACTTCTTATTTTCATCATTCTCATCCAACTCCTCTGCTCCTCCGTTCCGACAATTCCATCATTGTCACTCTCACCATTGCCATCCGTATCACCTCCATCAGTCTCGCCGTCCAAGTCGTGGTATTCCGTGTCATTACCGTCTCCGTCACTTCCTTGTTAGACCTTTGCCCATTTGCCAGTTGCCATCACTGCCTTTTCAACACATGGGTGGGTGGTGGGTGGTGGCTCTGGTCACTGGAATCCGAGGTAGTGGCACCACTCAGTGACTGCCACAAGTCAAGGACTTACAAAATGTAGGTTAGACTTCTCTGCAAGGCTCACCGCAACTGCCAGCTCAGAAGATTCGAGGTCGTTGGGCGCATACCAGCTACGAGTAGATCTACAGTACATGCGCCAGTTCACGTGACATCCCAGTAATCACAGATTACGACAGTGCCTAGACTATGGGCCTAGTATGGCTATGGTGTCTGGCGTGGCATTCACGTGCAACAAGATCGGATTTCATTCCGCATTAACCGCGGCACACATCCGTTTTCCACAAAAAATATCCGGATAGGTGAGGGCACCGGGTAATCGAACACAGATGCAGTCAACTTCGCTAATAACGACTGCGGATATAACGACAATTCGCGAATAACGACAGAATTTCCATGCCCAGAGCAAAGTCCCATCCAACTGTAATACATAGAATGAGACTTCGGGTATAACGGCACTTCGCGAATAAGGACACTTTTCTGATGCCCCGCCGAGTGTCGTTATAAGCGAAGTTGACTGTACTGTACACAAAGACTTTAAGTGTCTGAAGTCCTTGCCGCAATACGAGTACCCTATTACACAACAAGGGCAGAGCGTAGACCTACTACACAAGGCATACTGTATGTATGCAGGACATAAAATAATGCTGTAAATCCGTAACGAACGATTTTCTTCCGGATGGCGAGGGCTCCGGATAAAAGAGGACCGGATAAGCGAGGTGTGACTGCACTCGATCGTAGAGTAGCTTTGCGCACTGCACCGTACACTACGCACGTGTGCCACGTACAAAAAAAATAATGCTGAGCTCGATCGTACAGCAGTACATACATGTAGTCAAGACATGCATGCATACGGTACGGTACGATGTTTCTGACTTTCTGGTAGTGATCTGCATGCTGAGCTATGACTATTATCATGATTATCAGTACGAGTCGTATGAGCCTCAGGTGGCTGGTAAATTGTAAATACACATGTACCATTCCCCGACTAGAAATTACCAATTAGTTATTGTTATTCCCCTGTGACTGCCTGTAGCATGTAACGCCGGTCCTGTGTAGTTCCCTGTCTCGTACGAATTATAGTCTTGGCAGTTCGACAGTCTAGAGTGGTTTCGGATCTTTACTTAGAATTCAATCAAAGTGCATTTGGTGAATATCGCCAGGTTCTTTCTTCTCCTATTTGTTCCGTAGTACTAGTTTTGCAGCAGCAGTGATATTGCTGTGTAAGGATGACCCATGTCATTGCTTATTCTCAGATATGATGAATACGCGAAGGCCCCAACGCTGGCTGCTTATCGGTATACCATTTGTTCTGGTCACCATAATTCTGTATTTTCAACTGGAATCGCATTCGAATTCTTCTGTGAGTACTTCACTACTACATGTGCATTTACTACTACTACACATGCTTTGCCAACACGGCATGTATGCCCAATGGGGCCAAGATATCATGGGGTCATTCGCAATTATACTCATCTTCAGAAAAGTTCATTTTCAAATTCAGACTTGGTCAAATCGTATATTATTATAACGTGACCACATCCACTTCATACTAGTACAGTACATGTGATTTGTATGATTGTAATGAGCACATGTACATGACACCTATCCTATGTACAGTGTGTAAAGAATATCACACAACCATGGCCAAAGAGATCCGACCCGTGAGGTAATAGCAGCACCAAGGCTCGTGTGGCCCCTGCGGCCCTCGGATTGGGTTTTGGACCATACATGTCATTAAAATGGAAACTTGGCACTACTTATGGCTCGTCGGTCAGATTTCTTTAGCCGTGTCTGTAGATGCATGTACTCTATCCCTGCGCCGATGATGATGATCAACCCATTGATAGGCATGACTGTTGACCGTGTTTCGTGCACGCCCAGATCTGTCTTTGCGATCTTCAATACCGGTTCCTGCTCTGATATGTACGGTCAAGAATTAGTGGTGTGCACGGGTAGTCGGATACCCGTGCTACCCGTGAGGACCTCGGGTAGATGGGTGCAGAATAGTATCCGAAAACCCGAAATCGCAGATGCCATCATGTATAGTACACGTGTACAAATTCATGTAATTCTCTGCATGTCTACCCAGGACATCGACAGTGTGTAAGGGAAGGGGTGCATTGTGGTGTTTCCATGGAAACCTTACCCGATCGGGTACCCGTGCTACCCGTGGAAACTACCTGAACCCGACACCCGAAGAAAATGCTACCCGACTCCCCGACTCCCCGACTCAGCCCGACTCAAGAATACATGTACATGAAAGCCAGATGCAGAGTGTGCAGCTTGTGACTTTTTCAAAATTCCGGGATTACGTCATATAGTACTGTCGGGCGCCGAAGAACGGGGGGGGGGGGGGGGGTATCAGGGTTCTAACCTAGCCCGTTCTTATTTTTCGCGAACACAGCCGTTTCGTTCTTATTCGATGACAAAGTCATACTCGTGCATGTCATTGTATGTCCGAAAGTAATAGCTAAGTTTGCATGTGCACCTTATGCATGTACATGTACCAGTACATGACTATTGCATGGTGACACATACACACACATGGCAGCTTACATGTTTTGACTTGTGAAACTACGGAAATGTATCATCCAAACCTGCAGTTATACTTCTGAGTGTATATTATAGTGTACATTACAGTGTCCGTTCTTATCTGCAAAATTCCAGTCTATACCATTCTTAAAAATGGTGAAATTCTAGCCTGGCCGTTCTTCGACGCCTGGCCGTTCTTCTGCGTACGACTACTGTTGTTGGTGCAGATATCCGGCAGCAAGTGGCCTAGTGCATATAACTGAATTTCAGTTGTGCAGCAGGAGACCTGCTTTTACACACTCCGGTCTTCAGATACTCTTGGCACAGTGCATTGCATAGGCAGGGCGCAACACTCAAGGGCAATCACATTGGGAGAGTGGTTGCCTTAGCCGAGCTGTTTCGACAGGGAGCGCATCCGTGATAAAGAAAAGTGGTTGTCTTGGTCGAGTGGCCGCCATATCCGACTGGTCACCCTGACATGTTTTACCAAGAGTAAATAAGCTCCCAAGAGTGTGCAAGTCTGGATACCCTTTCTATGGGGTCCGCCAATGACAAAACTCACATCACGTGGTGTAGTGCTCCCGTTGTACATTCCCAGTCCGTTTTAGCGACCAGTGGAGTTGAAAAAATAGCACTCCTGACAGAAATCCACTCAGCTTTATGCGAGTTATCAGCATGACCATGGCAGATATTTGGACTGTATTGGACACATGCGCTGTATTGGACACATGCGCTGTATTGGATACATGCGCTGTATTGGATACATGCGCTGCATCGGACACATGCGCTGCATCGACACATGCGCTGTATTGGACACATGCGCTGCATCGGACACATGCGCTGCATCGACACATGCGCTGTATTGGATACATGCGCTGCATCGGACACATGCGCTGTATTGGACACGTGCGCTGCATCGGACACATGCGCTGTATTGGACACATGCGCTGCATCGGACACATGCGCTGCATCGGACACATGCGCTGTATTCTGTCCCTCCAGGAAATCGCGATTCCATGGATGCAACAAATTTCGCGATTTTGGCCCAAACCCGCGATTTTCAGCAAAATCCGCTATTTCCCGCGTTTTTTGTTGTTTTCTGCACTATATCTCACATTTTTATGCACTTTTCACGCAGTTCTTTCCATGATCCTGTAGGTTATTTGCACAGTACTCGTACGTATACGACTCCCGACTAGATATACGATGCAACAAATTTCGTGATTTGGCCCAAATCCGCAATTTTCTGCAAATAATTCCGCGAATTCCTGGCAAGTTCTGCATCATTCCGCACTTTTCGTCGCATTTTTTGTTACTTTCTGCCGCAATTCTTGCGCAAGTTTTCGAGAGTTTTTTCCGCAAATTTCCGCAGGGACAGTGTATTGGACACATGCGGCCACAGAAGTGCTGTTTGCGTGCAGTACTGTAAAAGCCATATATATAACGAAGTGCTAACTCTAACGAGTTAACGAGGAGAAATCTGTCGTTAAAATAGAAATCGTTATCCAGAAATCGATACATATACTGTTTTATAGAGCGTTGAGAATAAGTGAGAATCGTTACATTTGGTACACGTAAACCAGTCAATTTTGGGAAATCGTTATATATGCGCCTCGTTAGAATAATGGCTTTTACAGTATTTCCTACTGCACGCACAAGCAGCGTATGTCTAAATTCAGTAGATGTCATAGTTATTGCGATACGGTCCAGTGATTCAGTGGTATTGCGAACGCTTGACTGTATGCAAACCCACTTACCGTAATAATCACAATCATACATGTACCGCCAAGTATCGCCAGAGCGCCCCACCATCTTGTCCTTTCGTAGTCGTATTGTGGAGGTGGTGTCCTGTCTGTAGGTCATACGACACGAACCTTGCACACACATTACACTTGCAGTCAATCCGTACTCAATTTACCTTCGAGCGGACACGAGATTCACACAAAAACCTAAGTGTGACCTTAGTACACTAAGATTCTCACACCGTACAAACTCCGCTGCACTTTGCCATGCGATTTTCCTTCCCCTGGCTGTAAAATCAAGGTGGGGCGCTCTGGCTGTACTTTACCGTAATTATAATACTAGTGAGGTTCTGCCACACGGTATAACGTGCCAAAGTACGTATGGAAACTTCGCCGCGGTACGGGATTTAGTTTGATACGGATTTTTTCATACCGTTTTCCGTGTGAAGCGCGGTTCACACGGACCGGACTCCGTGTGAAAAGTGAGCGTACAGAGTACATGTGGCGGGGTGTTCGTGCATGGTTCGAGCATGCTACGTACAGCAGAACCGGTGCAACGTACGAAAAATCCGTGTCAAACTTCACTGCAGTTGACACGAAGTTTGGTACGTAGTTCCGTGTAGCAGAACCTCTCAACTAGCTAGGGTGTCCATAAGCCGCCGTGGAAACTAAGGCCTCCTTTCAAGTCAGACTTGCGCTCAGACGAGGCATTTCTTTGTAGATCAACTAAAAAAAACAGGCTTATTTGCCAAAGGTTCACCTTCAGAATTAGGCTTGAATTCGAAACAAGCTTCTGTTCTACGCCACCTACTTTTATACGTGACAGTGCAACATTAATAGTTGAGTCTGCAACCTCACACTCGTGTGCATTCTGTCTCTGCTTTATTTAATAAAGACCAACAACCGCAATGGACTGGATATTGGCAATGTCCTGGAGAGAGAACGGCGTACGTGGCAGAGTAACCTGCACTCACTACGTGAGGAGCTCAGACAAATGCAAGCCAAGCAGATAGAACTACTAGGTAAGGAGGGTAATTGCATGTTGTTTGCTTTTCTTGCTCCTTCAGTACTACGTCTGTATTGCTGTTGGTAGGTTTCTCGTGTGTGCTGCCTTTACGCGCCAGTGATGCTAGTGGTTTGTTGCTTGTGAGGTGTATTGGCAGAGGAGGAGGGGGGGGGGGGGAGGGGCTTGACTGGACAAGCACAACCCTGACCAAACTTTGCACGATATCGTTGAACCCCTATTCTTGGGATGTGTGTGGGCTACTGTAAAAGCCATTATTCTAACGAGTGGCGCATATATAACGATTGCCTAAAATTGACTGGTTTACGTGTACCAAAGGTAACGATTCTCACTCATTCTCAACGCTCAATAGCATTAATACGTGTCGATTTCTGTAAAACGATTTCTATTATAACGACTGACTTCTCCTCTTTACTGTAAAAGCCATATATATAACGAAGTGCTAACTCTAACGAGTTAACGAGGAGAAATCTGTCGTTAAAATAGAAATCGTTATACAGAAATCGATACAATACTGTTGCTATTAAGCGTTGAGAATAAGTGAGAATCGTTACCTTTGGTACACGTAAAACAGTCAATTTTAGGAAATCGTTATATATGCGCCACGTTAGAATAATGGCTTTTACAGTAATTCGTTAGATTTAGCACTTCGTTATATATATGGCTTTTCCAGTATGCATGTTGCCTGCTTCACCGTCTAATAGCTGAGCTGTAGTTTGCAGTGTAAGGTCACAGTCAGGTCTCTGCGTCTAATTTAGGGTTTGAATATTTGTATTTGTATTTGGCCGCATTGACAAGCTTAACATTTCGTGTGCATTGTGTGTGTGTGTGTGTGTGTGTGTGTGTGTGTGTGTGTGTGTGTGTGTGTGTATGTGTGTGTGTGTGTGTGTGTGTGTGTGTGTGTGTGTGTGTGTGTGTGTGTGTGTGTGTGTGTGTGTGTGTGTGTGTGTGTCTGTGTGTGTGTGTGTGTGGTGTGTGTGTGTGTGTGTGTGGTGTGTGTGGTGTGTGTGTGTGTGTTTGTGTGTGTGTGCCCGTGTGCATGTGTGCGTGTGCACATGACTATACCTTTCTTGAAGCTCTTGTCAATGACAATGCACGTCAAGCTGAGCTTGTGCGGAAAGCTGCGGCTGAGAATCCAAAGCAGCCAGTTTTCAATGAGCCTATGATCGAACAACAGCCCACAGTCGCCCAGCCTGCACCTGTAGTACATGATGTTGTGAGGACAGCTGGCAAGAACACAGTCATTGCCGTGCTCGTAATGGGCTGTAATCGGCCGGATGCCCTCAAACGCTCGCTTACACAGATCTTCAAGTAAGCATGTCCCTTTGCACGTGCACTGGGTACACTGAAGGGGGGGGGGGGGTGCGGCCTGGACGCGGTGGGGATAGATGACATCATGCTACTGTCCCGGGTCAGCCATTTTGAAAATGATGTCAAGAAGCCGTGAATCTCACACACCACGAAAACAAAATGTATGTAAATCATTTATTGTACATGTATTTCCATAGCTTGCATCACAAAATTAATAATGAAAGTACATGGTAGGGATATAGCAGTTGCCTCTGCACATGGTAAGTACACACAGCTTTGCTTCAAAGTTCGGCAGGGCACGTCAACAGGAGAGAGAAATTACAAGTCGGGCAGTTACCTTCGGACTCCTCCTGGACAGGGTTTACCAACAGCATTCTCCGAGGATGAGCTGAAGCAAACCTGTTCCATACAGCATCCAGATCCAGAGGAATGCTCTTGTGGCAATGCAGAAGCACAAGGACATTCAGTCGTGACTGTGTCATGGTGCTGCGGCGTTCCGTTTTGATGAACTTCAGGGTGGAGTTAGCACGTTCGACGCCAGCAGATGCGCGAGATGTTTGGGAAGAGCAAGGGATTGGCTTCCTTGACAGTACTGGGGAGAGAAGTTGGATGTTGTCCTGCTGGGCACATTTCCCACTTCTTCATCCACAGCTCCACTTCAGCTCTGAAGTTGCTCTTGTCTGGGAGATCAGAAGTATAGGCTGCCTCTATGTTGGCAATGTGATTGGATGACATGCGATCCAAGTTGGCAGGGAGAAGAAGGAGTGCCTGGATGGCCTTCTGGTTCAGGGAACTGAAACGACTGCCCTTTTCAGAAATAACCGAATCCAGGAACGGCACGAAAACTGACCTGCGCCAGTACTCCTCTGCATTGGAGGCAGGCCGCTGAAGTGCGAGGAACGACTGGTTTCTCTCTCTCCCATGGATAGCTGTTAGACTGCAAATTTCACCATAGAACTTCTTGAATGATATGTCCGCCTCCTCGCGGTGACCTTGAAAGACAGCAACGACTCCGGATATCTGTGAGTATGCTTCCAATATATCCTAATGTGAACCTTGGAGAAGAGCACTCAGACCTTTCAGGTATGCAGAGACGAAAACGTTACAGTGCAAGGAGACAATAAAGTAATGCGATGATATTGCACGGAGCAGTCCGTTTGCCTCCGTGACTGACTTGCCATTGAACTTGGCCAGCTCACAAGGTTTCTCAATTCTAGCTTCAGCTTGCAGGTCATGCGTTGGTGCTGAGGATTGGCCACATATCACCTCCAGGCAGAACACAACAGCCTCATACACCTGCCTGAAATCCATGATGGCCGTGTGCCGCTCAACCCACCTGGTAGCAGACAGCAACTTCAGCTTCAGGGTTGGGATTGGTTCCCCCCCCCCTGCGTACGCACAGTGGGCTAGCTGGGCTTGTGTATGTCCTGCGCACAGTAGACTGTGTAGTGATGTACACATGCTAGTGTAGAGTGGTACATGCTATGCTGTATGCGGAATCATGTTGACTGTGTATTTTATTCGGTTGTTTCATCTGTTCCAGGCGTAGGCCCTCTGCTGAACAATTTCCGGTGGTTGTCAGTCTGGTAAGTGAAGAGGTGGTGATCATGGAGCTGCACTATAAATTAATTAAGTATATCCGTTCAGCAGTGGCTTTTCAAGTTGTCGTAACTCGTCGATTCTCGCTCGAAAATTATCTAGGAAGAAGAGAAAACCCCCAGCCGTCCGTACGAACCATTGACCAAGTGTTGCGATCAACAGTTGTTGAGATATGATTCGCATTACGCTCGTAACGATCATCACGACAAGTTTGCTGGGGACATGCAGCCAGCCTTGAGTGTGGGTTTTTTCTGTTTCTGTAAGTTGTCATGGATGCACACATTTTTAATAGGCTGGACTAGTTTGACTCTCTGCAAAGGTTGAGCTTCGTGCGAGCAGAGAGTGAAATGGCTGAAAAGACTGATCTCTCCCGCTAGTTCATCCCTGGAGTGAGTTTTCTGGGCTGCAGCGCTGGTCTTGTCAAGTTGTGCCACTGCTGGCATTGAGCTTGTGCGCAACTTGTTCCTCTCATTATCAGCTTCCCAAGATCATGAAAGGGGGGGGGGGGGCTCTGTTCTTTTTGCAAAACCGTTTGCCTTGCGCTTAAGCCTCTGTAGTACTCCGTTGGTAGGTGATGGCTCATAGTGAGTCATAGTGTTTCTTCATTTGATGTTGTGTGTGTGTGTGTGTGTGTGTGTATGTGTGTGTGTGTGTGTGTGTGTGTGTGTGTGTGTGTGTGTGTGTGTGTGTGTGTGTGTGTGTGTGTGTGTGTGTGTGTGTGTGTGTGTGTGTGTGTGTGTGTGTGTGTGTGTGTGTGTGTGTGTGTGTGTGTGTGTGTGTGTGTGTGTGTGTGTGTGTGTGTGTGTGTGTGTGTGTGTGTGTGTGTGTGTGTGTGTGTGTGTGTGTGTGTGTGTGTGTGTGTGTGTGTGTGTGTGTGTGTGTGTGTGTGTGTGTGTGTGTGTGTGTGTGTGTGTGTGTGTGTGTGTGTGTGTGTGTGTGTGTGTGTGTGTGTGTGTGTGTGTGTGTGTGTGTCAATGATTGTGCATGCAGGACTGTGGTCATTCTGGTGCTGAACAAGCTGTGGCAGAGTTTGGAAATTCGGTCTCGAAGCTCATCAAGGTGAGCCCTGGTCTACGTTGTATCTACTCACCAACTAGCTGGAGAGTTTCACTTGCTATTCACATCTGAGATTGATCAACTGTCAACATAACGTTAGCGATCTTGCTGTCGAATTGGTGTGCATTGTGCAATAGTGTGACTGTATATGTGTGTGCGGGTGTGTGCGTGCGTGCGTGTGTGTGTGTGTGTGTGTGTGTGTGTGTGTGTGTCCCATATGGTGCAGTGGTATGTGCAGTCGATTTCCAATCGAGAGGTTGCGGGTTCAATAGACCGATCCCCTTATTATTGTCTAGGTTCGAGCAAGGGGGCAACTCCGCAGTCGCGTGGGATCCTGCTGCACACACGCGACCAACCTCACTTCGGCTGTGCGCGACTTCTCGCATGCGAAGTGCAGAGCACGCGAAATCTACATGCAGTGCAAGCCTGTCTACAAAAATGCTACAAGGACTTTTGATTTGAGCTGTTTTGTTTTTGTTTAGACGTCTTCCTTTTTACGACTTTTCAAAGGTACGACTCATCACTGGCTCTGGGGTAATGTTCCTGGGCGAGAAGTGTTCCAGCACAAGAAGCAGCACGAATACATGCTGACAAAGACCACCATCATCACCAGCCGGCACACAGCACACTGTTCTTCAAACACTATCCACTCCGTCCATGTGTTTGCACTGTCCTCCTCTAGCTCTTCACGCTCAACAAATACCACGCACTGCTCATCGTTTTTTTAAATGCTTCCTCTGGGTTGGCTAGCCCTTCGACTTGACAAAACAGCGATCACCACTGCACTGCTATCGTCACCTCATAGCAGTCGCTTCCACCAGTGGCTTTTCCTGTCTTTGCAAGGTGTCCAAGGATGGCTGCTGTTGTCACTACAGGCAAATCTTTAGTGGCTGATGTCCAACCAGATCGTTGGAAAATCGATTTTTCCACTTCAGGCTGCTGATCGCGATCGCGACTTGGTGACTTGGCAGCACCACGGTTACCTTCATAGAAGATGGCTCTGGAGAGGAAAATACAAACCAGAAAAGGTTACTATTATCTTCAGGACCGATCTCAAGGAGAAAGAAATACGGTCTGCTGTAGCCTAGGCACAACATAAATCTCACAACACGATTCGCGATTCGAATATTTCAACAACAACAAAACTCACCTCTGGAGTAACTCCTGTTTGTGGCCCGAGATCGTTCCCTCCCGCGCCTTGAAAAAATCCTGCAGCTGCATCACAGTCCATGTCTCTCTCGGAGACTCTGCTCCTACCAGCAGGAGGTTCAGCACCGCTCGAAGCCATCGCAAACTACTTGAACTAAGCAGAAGACATTCCAAAACAAACCTGAAACACACTGTCAAAGATGCTGTCACGTTCAAAAACTAGCTCGATCGCGAGTGCAGTTGCCCCCGTGCTCGAACCCAGTATAATAAGGGGATCGGTCTATTCCCGACGATTATGGTCGCACGCGTCTTTCTTCTCTTTCTCATTCTCCTAGCTCTTCTTTCATTCTCCTGGGTGGTTACCAACAGCCAGTGTACGCCGGAGTATGTGGTGTGGCGTGTGTGTCCAAAAAAAGAAGAAGAAAAAAATGAAAAATAGGGATTCACTGGCCAGAGAAAGCCACTTCAATCAGCTGTGTGGTGGACACCAGGTTAAAATTAGTGGCGGTCAATTCATCAGCCTTGCAAGCTGTTGAAATGGTGTAATCCCAGCACAAGTTGCTATGTCTAACATAGCTGTTCGCTATCATCGCTTCCACGATGGGCATGTCTGTGATGATGTGTGATGTGTGCGTGTGTGTATGTGTGTGTGTGTGTGTGTGTGTGTGTGTGTGTGTGTGTGTGTGTGTGTGTGTGTGTGTGTGTGTGTTATGCATGTGTGTCCATGTGCACTATTGTGGGTTTGGTTTTACATCTGGTTTCAACCTCTATAAGTCATTTATATAGTACTGCTCACAATTCTTTATTTCTGTCTTTCTTTCAACTTTAGCAACCCGATTTGGCACCGCCTGATCTTGGCAACATATCTCCTAGCAAGCGGCGCATGTTTGAGGGTTACACCAAGATATCTCGCCACTACAAGTTTGCGTTGACAGAAGTGTTTGAAAAGATGAAGTATGAGACTGTGGTCATTGTGGAAGGTGGGTTGGATATGTTCGTATATATGCTGGACATTCTCTCTCTCTCTCTCTCTCTCTCTCTCTCTCTCTCTCTCTCTCTCTCTCTCTCTCTCTCTCTCTCTCTCTCTCTCTCTCTCTCTCTCTCTCTCTCTCTCTCTCTCTCTCTCTCTCTCTCTCTCTCTCCTATGCACACACACACCATGCACCATGTACCATGCATACACCCGTCGCAAGAGAGGCACGCAAATCTGCAAACACACAGACACACACAGACACACACACACACGCACGCACGCTCCTGTCCTGAACATTGTCGTTTCCGGTTACATGTCCCCTTGTGTGAGGGGCCGACAGACATGGAGAGTTGGGCTGAGGCGCTGTCTTGCATCAACGTCGTAGCGAGATTTCCTAGACCTTTCTTGCATCCATTTGTTGCAGTTGTGCAGCTGGAACCCTCGGGTTGACTTGCAACACCGATCGCATTGGTTGCAGTGGGCTTCGCAGCAAGGCAGGGTGAGTCGCTGACGGGTGTCACACGATGGTCCAGCAGCGGTGACTTGGCCATGCACTGGAGTAGCAGATGGGGGCATATCCAGGCATTTGTGGACGGCCAGTCTGCCAGGACTGCGAAACCAGCGAAGACATGCAGTGCATTGCCTGCTGCCAGCCTTATCTGCTACAGGTTTTCGACGCTCTTGAGTGCACTTGTGATCTGCTACAGGTTTTCGACGCTCTTGAGTGCACTTGTGGCGTGGCAAAAGGAAAATCTTTTACAAATACTGCACTGAATCCGTTCACGGGAGACCGGCTGTGCTGGTGAAGCACTTCTGAATGCTGTGCGCCACTCTCCTCGTTGCTGCGCGGTGTCGAACCAATCTTCTTCAAGATTTAGGTGACGGATGTCAGCTCGGACGGTATCACGCCAACGCTTTCGGAGACCACATGCGGGGCGTGTAGGTAGCAGTGATCCGGACAACAGCTGGCGAGGGGTGCGGTCTTCGTCCATACACACACACGCGCGCACACACACACACACTTATACACACACTCACACACACACTCACACACACACACACTCACACGCACACACTCACACACACACACACACACACACACACACACACACACACACACACACACACACACACACACACACACACACTCACACTCACACACACACACACACACTCACACACACACTCACACACACACACACACACTCACACACACACACACACACACACACACACACACACACACACACTCACACACACACGCACACACACACACACACACACACACACACACACACACACACACACACACACACTCACACTCACGCATGCACTCACCCACACACACTAGCCCTAGCAGGTCACACCATGGCGTCTTGGTGAGAATAGTACCGTGACAATGTCCGCAAGTACCTGCACAATTTAGCCACAGTGATGCAATGCCTTCCTGACGAGTGCATTTCCCGCACTCTTCAATGTAGCACAGTGGTGGTAGCAAGTAAAATGCCCGCTGGTGATGATGGCAGAGTCCTATTCACTCCACAACCCAGTGAGTGCGTTTGATTATGCACGCGAATCGATTCATGAATGCAGGCGAATCGATTCAAGTGCATAATCGAACGCAGCCAGTGTGTGTGTAGTGATGATGGCAGAGTCCTGTTCACTGCACAATCCAGTGTGTGTGTGTGTAGTGATGATGATAGAGTCCTATTCACGGCACAACACAGTGCTTGTGTAGTGATGATGGCAGAGTCCTGTTCACGGCACAACACAGTGCGTGTGTAGTACCAGCACCATGCAGCCTGCAGGCGGTTATGTTTATCTGGTTGGATTTTACTGGCTACTCGAAAACAATGGGCTTAGCATGGAGGAATACTGGACTTAGCAGCAGCTACGGTGCCCGTGTGTGTGTGTGTTTGCTGTTTTCGTTGTGTTTTTTTTTTAGATGATCTTGACATCTCGGAAGACTTCTTCGACTACATGGCGGCTGGTGAACGACTCATGGCCCAGGATAAGAGTCTGTGGTGTGTGTCGGCATGGAATGACAATGGCAAGGCTGGCTTCATTGACACTGACCATCCCGAGCTGCTCCATCGCACGGACTTCTTTCCCGGACTTGGCTGGATGCTAAAGCGTGCAGTGTGGGATGAGCTGTCACCGAAGTGGCCCAAGGCCTTCTGGGACGACTGGATGAGAAATCCCGCGCAGCGCAAGGATCGCGCGTGCCTGAGCCCGGAGATATCACGTACCTACACGTTTGGTCTGGTCGGCGTCAGTCAGGGTCAGTACTGGAAACAACACTTGCAATATATTCAGATCAACAACAAACCAGTGAAGTTCAACCAACTCAACCTGGACTACCTACTGAAGACACAGTATGATGAAGCCTTCGACAAGGCTGTGTACGGATCACCGGAGGTTGCCTTCAGTGGTATACCTCTGAACGGGGCCAAGTCTGTTCGCGTCTTGTACGCCAATAACATTGACTTCAAGATGAAGGCCAAGAAGCTGGGCATCATGGATGATCTTCGCGTAAGATTGCTATGCATACTCTGTGTGTGTGTGTGGGGGGGGGGGGGGGGGGGGGGCTGCACTGGATCGAGTACTTCAGTATGTTGTGATCTACTGTAAAAGTCATGATAGTAATGCCAGTGCTGCACACCACTCGACCAGTCGATTTTACAGGTATGACTGTGTTTCAGGCTGCTACTCATGTACAACCAATAATAGTGATGTTCCGCTCTACGTTACGGGAACGCGACGCCAAGAATCATGGGAACTCTCTTCACGTCCCCATAACGTAAAGGAAACCCGTTCTGCTCTAGGTCCGCGTAAATAAGTCACATGGAATGTGTACTGGGAATGCCTTACGTTCAGAATTTGGCAGTTTTCTGCCTAACTTGAAGGACACCTACATATAGCAGATCCCTGTGCATTTTCTTTGTGTGTGCTACTACGTAGAGAACCTCATTTACACGTAGAAATCTGGACCCAAACACGCGAAGCTGTGCGCTCTAACCCAGACACCTGTTCTCTACGTGATTTCTCTACATTTCACGTATTGCAGAACCTCACTAATAAAATCAACACCCTGATACTGCAGCAATAACACTACCGCGATGCGTGTACTAGCAATACTAGTAAATAATTATGTCTAATTTAAATTTTGAACTCTCTGTAGGGGATGCCTAATTGGGTGGACTTTATACACGGAGTGTTGTCCACATGAAGACTATTTTTATAGTTGATTCCAAGTTTGGGCTGCGTATAATAGATTCTGGACCAATAAACTCTATATAGGGGGAGCCAATTGGCTGGACTCTATACAGGGAGTGATGTCCATCTAAACTTTGAACTTACAGTTGATTCCTACTTTGGACTGTGTATAGTGGATTTTGGACCAATGGACTCTATATAGGGGATGGACATCATATAGGGGCTGGACGCTCTACACAACCAGTAATCATGCAGTACACGCCACTGAAGAAGAAAAAACCCCGTTGTGCTTGAAGTAGCAAGTGCCATATTTTTTCCGGAGTAGTAAGTCGCATGCAGATTTTGTACGAAATACAGACATCTACTCTGTTTATCACCGTTAATTCGACCTTTGTAGTACATGTTGCACCGACTTTTTTGGGTGAATTCCTGGTGTTTATAGTCGGCTTGTACTCCGGAAAATACGGCACCATTATATCCACTTTTTATTAACCCCACTAATTTCTGGTCACAAGCTTTATGGTATATAATTAATGTAGAGCCGAAGGATTTATTGCGATTACATACTAGTATAAAAACCGAAGCGAAGCCGAGGTTTTTCTAACTGGTATGTAATTGTAGGTGGAGGGGGGGGGGGCACTACAACACCCTCCATTCCAAGAACCACAAGAAAGCAAGCAGAAAGATGGAACATAGCAGCACAGTAAAGCAGCAAATAGCACAGCACATGAAAAGCGTTTTAAAATACTAAGAAAATGTCCCAAGATCACGGCTATTTCATGAGTGGCAAGAAATTCGGCTTTAACAAAGACAGCTTTCTCTTCTTTTTCTGAGGCACGATATTACCCTTCTCCAACTCGGTCTGGACTGTCACTGCATACAATTCCGAAAACTCATTCTTCAAGCATCGCTTGAAAGCTTCGTTGACGGTCAGGTCAAGAAGTTGGAGCATCCCAGTACATGTACATCCGACTGGAATGAATACCACCTTGATGTTGTGCAGCAAGTTTCTCCAGCACTAATGCACAGCAAGTTTCTCCAGCACTAATGCACAGCGGTGAGCAGCAAGTTTCTCCAGCACTAATGCACAGCAAGTTTCTCCAGCACTGATGTGCCTTGAACACATGTCACAAGAGCAATCCCCTGGCATCAGTTGGCTGACCCAACTCCTCCCTCTGCTTGGCCATGAACAGAGCTAGCACACTGTCAATATACTCCAGCATGGTCTGTGTCCGTCGACCAGTGCTTATCCGAGTGCGTGATGTTCCAAAGAGGAAGGACATTTCCAGATGGGTGACAGTGGTTGGTTTTTCCGGCGTAAATAACTTGCGACAGCAGCAGCTGACCACTCAGACTAACACCCATTATTATGAGCCCCAATGCATCAAATATTCGTAAGTCTGAGAGACTGAAAAAGGAATATAAACACTGCTATAAAAATCAAGGCATAGCTGAGGGTTTTAAACTGTTTATAGACTGTTTATATTCGCATTTATTAAATACATGTAGTACCCACACTAAGTAGCGACCACACCATCAACAGTATCAAATTTTACTGAGTTTTCTTTGGTTCACTAAGCACTTCTAAGCCAATAAATACTATGTTACGAAAGTGAATGCAGGACTGGGCCACAGGATCATGGCCTGTATGTTCTGATTTCTGTGTTGCCTCCTTCAGGCTCTCTTTAGTGGTGGAACAATGCAAAGACATAGCTGTGTGTGTGTGCTTGCCTGTGTGTGTGCGTGCGCGCGCGCGTGTGTGTGTGTGTGTGTGTGTGTGTGTGTCCTTTCTGCTTTTCCAGGCCGGTGTTCCACGCATGGCCTACAAGGGAGTTGTTTCGTTCCTGTCCAGCGGCCAACGTGTATACTTGGCACCGTCCAAGCCGTGGGTTGGCTATGTAGATAAGTAGTCCAAGCCGTGGGTTGGCTATGTAAATAAGTAGTCCAAGCCGCAGTCAGTTTAGCATGTGATCTCACAGTGAACACAGTGAAGGGAGGGTGCTGTGGCATGACATGGCTGACAGCATCATGACCCAGCACCCAGCTGGAATGGGTTGTTGGTATGTCATTGCTTGTCTTGTGTGATGATGATGATCCGTACCATGCTATACCGTCGGAGGAGAGGATAGCATTAGCCGCAACAGCAGCAGCTGTGAGCAGTCCTGTTTTTAGTGCTCCGATGTGCTGCCAGCGGCGCTGTCTCCTGGCGATCCCGTGGCAAGGGCTGTGTGTGTGTGTGTGTACATGTGTGTGTACGTGTGTGTGTGTGTGTGTAAGTGTGTGTGTGTGGTATACAGTGTGTACGTGTGTACATGTATGCCGACATGGCATCAACAGCACACCAGTACACACTCGGTGACAACAGCAGTTGCAACAGCAGCACCAGTAGCAGAACACTACGAGCGCTCTAGTGTTCTTATGCAGCTACTGACAGCTTTCGTGTTCCATATCGATTAAAGACAACATTGTAAACAGTCTCTTGTCCGAAATCACATGTACACCTACCAATTGCAATTGCCTTGATTCTTCTCGCAAGTTCCACTTTTGCCATAGTTGTACATGTCTAGCTTTTATTGCACCTTCTTTGTAGAAAGGCGCTGCCCCACTCTCATTTTCTTGCACATACTTTAATTTAATTTCCTGAGTACCCAATAAGGACTGGTACGGCGGCATCAGTGCAACATACGGTTTTCTTCAACATGTGCATAGGACTGTGTTATTTTTCTTAATGCAAGTACATGATGTTGTGTAGCGTAGCTTTAGGGCCCTCTGAGGGAGGGCAGGAAATGCTGGGTACGTCCCACGACTTCCTTTGTTGCATGTACGCTGGACTGAATTTCGCTACAATATATTTGCTTTGGAGCATTTATTTTATCCTCAAATTATTGTTTGCGCGTTTCTGTGTGTGTGTTTGTGTGTGTGTGTGTGTGTGTGTGTGTGTGTGTGTGTGTGTGTGTGTGTGTGTGTGTGTGTATGGTGTGTATGCGTGTGGTGTGTGTGTGTCCCATATGGTGCAGTTGTATGTACAGTCGATTTCCAATCGAGAGGTTGCGGGTTCAATTCCCGACGATTATGGTCCCACACGGCTTTCTTCTCTTTCTCATTCTCCTAGCTCTTCTTTCATTCTCCTGGGTGGTTACCAACAGCCAGTGTATGCCGGAGTATGTGGTGTGTGTGTGTCGAAAAAGAAAAAAAGAATGAAAAAAGTCTGTACTGAAACGGAGGATGAGACGGATGATCAGAGGATGGAAGAGGAATTGAATGACGAAACGGTTGGTGAAGAGACAGAGGACGAGGCAGATGATGGTAGTGATGATGATCATGAAGATGACGAGCGGAACGAGGAAGAGGACGATCTGATGGACGAGGAGGAGTCGGATGGGATAAAGCGAGATGAGGCAGACGAATGTGTTGATCGTAAGAAGTCGGCTGTGTATCTACACTTGTTATCTCGTCCTGGCTGTCTTGGTGTGTATGATGACTCTCATTTTTCTGTACTGTGTCATGCGCGTTATGTCCAACAGTTGAAAGTCCTTGAGGCAGTTTGTATACGTATTCATAAGCCTGTTTTGTGTAAGCAGAAAGAGCACTTTGTTGCACTGAGGTTGTATTCATAGGTTGACACAGTTCGTTCAGTGCCTTCTCACCTTTGCTTACGGTTACTTTAGTTCCGTATTTTTCCCACTGATGATAGGAACGAGAAAATCGATTCTGGGTTTCAATAATATTAATTTTTGTTATAAAATACACAGTCATATACGTGTCAAACAAGTAACATAGTTGCGTGATGTCTGCGGCCTTCATCCTATTCATAGCTATATTAGAATGAAAAAAAAATGAAAAATAGGGATTCACTGGCCAGAAAAAGCCACTTCAATCAGCTTTGTGGTGGATACCAGGCTAAAATTGGTGGCGGTCAATTCATCAGCCTTGCAAGCTGTTGAATGGTGTAATCCCAGCACAAGTTGCTATGTCTGACATAGCTGTTCGCTATCATCACTTCCGCGATGGGCATGCCTGGGTCTGAGTCTGTGTGTGTGTGTATGTGCGCGCGTGTGTGTGTGGTGTGTGTGTGTATGTGTGTGCAAATGTATGCGTGTGTACATTACTCTAGACACAACTATCTCACACCCGTACTTGTGTCTACTGCTGTGTGGTACGATGATGTTGATCTGGCTACATGCACAGCTGATCAGCCAGTGACTTGTTTCTGATGCTCAGCATTGCTTGCATGTACTGGCAAATAACTAGCTATGCTGTGAACCAAAGTAAGACAGCCTGCGTGGATTCAGCTCAGAAACCATGATTGGTTTAATCTAGCCTAGCGTTGATAACTCCATAAACTCTCTCTCTCTCTCTCTCTCTCTCTCTCTCTCTCTCTCTCTCTCTCTCTCTCTCTCTCTCTCTCTCTCTCTCTCTCTCTCTCTCTCTCTCTCTCTCTCTCGAATGGTGATGCATGTGTTGTTTGGGTCTGTCAGACAGTAGATGCAGCTCAGTGCATGATGTCACCTGTGCCCGCATCAGACTCTGAGGTCTTCTCACAGTTTGATCATGGTTATAGCGTTACGCCGACATATCCACAGCTCCTCCGGTCTGCCACCAGGCACACTCACAACTCTAGCTACAGTACAGTGTGTACATGTACTGCCACAAGGATCATGATGCAGCACTCCTGTGAAAATGAATCCTGTCGGCTATAGCTTGGCACTTCTATGGCTGGGTTTGCCTTGACTGCAGCGGTGTACATGCCAGTAGCTAGTGCCAAACATCCAGCATGGCACTGCAAGGGCGGCATTGTTGTAGATACACACATCCAGCATGGCACTGCAAGGGCGGTATTGTTGTAGATACACACACGCATGCTGCTGAGTATGTGCTGGTTGCAGTGCTGTGTGTGATACTGTTTGCCGGGCATTCACCGCCGATACTTGGCTGTGTAGATGATTACAATTGCCTCGAGGACAGCCGGTAGAGCGCTGCACATGACAGAGCGGTGAGAAGAGAACCAACACATGTCACAGTGCTGTACTGCACACCAAACTACTCTACATACACAGACGCCATGTACAGTGTACACTGTACATGTGTTTGATACCATCTCATGAACTCTTCCATCCGGCCCAGCTACCTTAGCACGTGTACCGATCAGTCACAGTGAGTGGCATAATAATGTCTGATAGTTCGAACCTCAAACTGGGTATGTCCGGTTAATCAGTAGTCCCACGGAATCCACTTACATGTACATAGAACATGTGTGGGATTCATGCTGAGAACTCGAAGTCAGCAAAGCATAATTCGAAGTTCAGTATATTTTCTAAAAATCAGTTTGGTTTGCATCCGCAGGCAGTTCAGTGTCCACTAAATCTGTGTCAGGGTGTGTAGTGCAACTCTGTGCGTCAACCGGCGAGCATTTTGACATACATAATGTGTTGTGGGTACATGTTTGGATAATTAGAATGTCCAGATAATTAGAAGTTTTTGCGTGGCATTTTGGGGATTCGAATTATCAGGATTCCATCTGTAGATATTCTTTGTAATGCTGGAAATTAGAGCATTCCGCCGATTAAAAAATGTAGGTCTGCCGTGTAAGTCAAACCGTAGTTATCGCCAAACAGCCGAGCTAGCAGGCTGGCCGCTTTGAATGCACACAGCTAGCGTCTTTGACTGTACCGACAGGGCATACGCACTAGTTGGCGGACATCCGCGGTGGCCCTTTTCAATGGTGGCAAAGGCCTGGCACAACTGAGCAGCCCTCGCATACGGCAAGAACATTAAATTTTTGTTTCGTTTTGTTCTACCTCATAATCATTGTTACTGCACTACACACCCGGGCATTGCTTACCTACAGACGCCAAATATCGGCCAAAAGCGGTCGCAGTCCCATGTGTTGATGCGGAAGAAGAGCATGGAAACAGCACCGCTGATATGAAGACCAATTGCTAAACAGTGTGACTGTCAAGGATCAGTGCATGCAGAGGTGCCACCACAACTTCAGCCAAGCAAACTGATCATTTTTTTTATAGATGTACGGCCCTCAGGGTAACCTGTTGGGCACTAACAAGCCATAAAGCCCTCCCTGCCATGCACTAACCTATACTTGGTACATGTTTTTGCCCTGCACCTATACTATGGAATCGGTCTCAAATAGTTTGGCTGCTTTATACGCCCAACAACTATCTCAGTGCAAGCGAATAATTTTTTAATGTGACACTTCACTTATCGGCCATTCGCACAAAGAGCAAGAGTCCACTAGTCGTACTGTATGCATAGAGAATTAGAGATACAGTCCGACTCATACTCATTCGGGGAACGGGGGACTGACTAGTTTATTCTTTTTTCACGTCACTGTGTGATGTTGTGATGTTCGCTGTATTCAGTATTCACATTACGGTACTCTTTCCACTTGCAAGCCCAGCACCAGCACTGGCACCAGCACTGGCACCACTACCAGGCATGCCACTACCAGACATGCCACTATGAATACACATTGACACATTCAAGATTAGCTAAGCGCGCCGTGTGAATTGCCTGTTACATTCCTTTGGTACATCCATTGCACAGGTGCAGCCAATAGGCAATGCCCTGTGAAACTCACAGCCTAAACTCATGGTACGCGTGTTGAAAAGGATACAGACTAAGCTAATGGCACTGTTGAACATGGTGAAGCCGAACAGAAAGCCGAAGAACTCAATGGCCAGGAATCCGAGTGAGAAGGAAAGACCAACGATAAGCCTGTAAGACATCAACACAAAAAAATCACCGGCAGGAATGAGCTCACGGTGGTAAGCCATTGTGTTCCAGGGGCGTGCTCGGCTCCCCTTCCAGGGGGGGGGGGTGCACCACTTCTAGACGACAGCAGTTTTCAAAAGGTTGTACCGGTGACATCATCATCAGATATTTGTACATGTGACGTCATAATTACTGTTACAAAGATTGTATGTCATCAAGAAGGAACACAGTACAGCATCATAATTATCAATTTTTTCAAAATAAAGGATGAAAACTTTACAAATGTTTAAAAACCAATCCGTTGACGGCACTGTGCCAGGCAGGCCGATGCAAACACACATTGCACGGATATAGCTAAGAACAATCGTCACACGAGTTGACGTATCTGGACACAGGATTCGGCGAGGAGAGCGTCGAAAAAACAGCTTCAGCGCCTCATCTGTGGATGTGCTCCCGCGAGGTCGGGCTTTCCGCAATACATTGGTGACTTTTCAAAACCCCGGTCGAAATATTTTGGGGGGTGCACTTGCCCCCTGTGCCCCTCGCCAAGCACGCCCCTGTGTTCATTCTTGTTGTGCAAGCAAGTAGTACATGTTTGTTTGAAGTTTTATTTTACATCGCAAAATGTGTACATGTACATGTACTAGTAGCCTAACGGCCTAAGTAAACAACACAGTGCGAGAATGGTAACACCCTGCCTGGCTAGAATATTACACAACACACATGCAACACTGCGTATGCCAACACACATGCAACACTGCGTATGCCAACACACATGCAACACTGCGTATGCCAACACACATGCAACACTGTGTATGCCAACCCACCTGTCATCCTTGCTGTTGTACTCACTTGCTGTATACTGCAACGGCAAACATTCTTTGATGTTACCATCCTACACACGCACGCAGACAGACACACGTACACACACACACGTACACACACACACACACACACAGTCAAATACACGCACAGTCACATACACACATGCACACACACACACACACACACACACACACACACACACACACACACACACACACACACACACACCACATACACAAACACACAGATGCACACACAAACGCGGTCAGCACATTCATCTTCACGACTTTTATGAGTTTAGAATCAGTAGGAACCAGGGAGTGGGGCAATGCGTACATTGTAGTCATTACCAGGCGCGGGTTCCTGGGTGCCCGTATGGGTTCCTGGGTGCCCGGAACCCCCCCCCCCCTTTCGCTCAAAATGCAGGATTTTGCTTCTTTTTTTGAATTTGTTGGGGGGGGGGCCCCTTGAAGGGCACCGGCGCACGCGCCTGATTACTACTCATTAGACATTACTATTCATTACTACTCCCTGGGAACAACGACCTACTACTCCCTGGGAACAACGACCTACTACTCCCTGGGAACAACGACCTACTACTCCCTGGGAACAACGACCTACTACTCCCTGGGAACAACGACCTACTACTCCCTGGGAACAACGACCTACTACTCCCTGGGAACAACGACCTACTACTCCCTGGGAACAACGACCTACTACTCCCTGGGAACAACGACCTACTACTCCCTGGGAACAATGACCTACTACACGTACTCCCTGGGAACAACGACCTACATAGTACATGTACACCGGGACTCGACACATCCACACTCACATCACATTTCACCCATTGGAATCATTACAATGAAAGAGATGAGAGAGATGATTCCTACACCCAGGCACTTGGGCAGTTTTGTTTGTATGTGCATGACTAGTCTCATTCATCATCATTACTCGTCTCAATACTCGTCTCGCTATCACATTGTCTTACCCGTGCATAAAATGACATAATTACAACAGCTAAGTGCGCCGACAGCGCTAGGAATCGAGCAGGAACGATGGTGCGCAATGGTCTTGCCATTGCGATAGCAGTAGGGACAGCTGTTCTTGCACAATAATAATAATATTATTATTATTGTATGATGCTCCGACAAGTCGTACAAAAATTAACGTTCTTGACCACAATCCTCGAGGTGGCTCACAGAGTATGGAGTCACTTCATTCCACGATTGTTCAGCTCCACGGCCCGCTGGACCGATACTACCACCAGTACTACCGGTGTTTAGGCCTCCCGTTCGGAGTACAATCTTCTCTTTGGTGTAGGTTGGGATGGCAGTTCTCTGGTTAGTCTACTTACTCCCACAAAACTGAAGTCACTTTGCACGCCTGTCAGTGTCACGTCCAAGCCGCTGCCACGACTACCTCCAGCACAGAGTAGATCTACGTGTGCGTGTGTATGTATGTAGAGTATCTGTCCGTCTTCTTTTCGCGCAAGAATGATAATAATATTATTATGAGTAGATCTACAGCATGCATATGCCAGGTGCGCATTTGTGGCTACAGCTCAGTACTACTAGGCTGGTACGTGTCACGTCATGCAACGGTTTTAGTTATAACGCGCGAAGCTCGAACGAAGACTCATGATACACGTCGTTGCTCAAAATAATAATATTGTCAAAATGACAAAACACTCCCATCGCGGTCTATCGTCTATCGATCACGATGCTTCAGTTCAGTTCAGACTTTCCGTCAAGTAGATCTACGACGCCGGTGCTCGTAGACTCTACACTACAGAGTACAGTCTACCTAAGTCCTTGGTCTACGCGCGTAGGGCTAAGCCAAGGCCAGGGAGTCACATCGACAGACTCATCTCATATCAGTGACTGAGTGAGTCAGTACACGCGCAGTGGACACATCACAACGAATATATTATTTTTTTGAAGGAGGAAACCAGCACATGCCCGGATTGTATGGACACATTCACTGTTGGCGCTTGGACGTCGTCGCTTGTAGACATCTACTAGTACTAGTACTATCGACTTCACGTAGTGCAGAAATTGTTTTGTGAATAGCTTGTTGCTTGTCTTGGAAAACGGCGTGGAGATGGCTAGTCCAACGGCACCAGAAGTGAAGGACAAAATACTAGACGGCTTCAAACTGTATCCTCTCGATGCAAACATCATAATAATATTATTCTTATTATTGCTGTTACTTCTGGCTACTGCAAGCATGCTGACGGGTGCGGGTATTTGTCCGCTAGCTTGTGTAGCATGCACGCTAACTGATCTTGAGGTAACACTTATTCGTGCTCTTGCTTGGTAACGCGACACACTCCGAGGCAAAGAATATTGCTGCTTGTATGCTACGACATTACGTTCCGGTGTATAGACGGACAGGCTGATTTTGTGAATGTCATTGATTGTTTATTATAATAATATTAATTTTATTATCAAAACTCGCGTTGTCTTGCGTGGGCCATGGGGGAGAGAGGGGTAGCGTAGGTTGATGTGTGTGTGTGTGTGTGTGTGTGTGTGTGTGGGAGGGGGGGGGGGGGGGGTGGTAGGTTGTTTTACGTGCTGGAACTTTCTTAGTATTACCAGACTATTTCATTATCTTTTGAAGGTTACTGGTGATGAGAACTGTCCCTCTCTCTAGAGGTGTCTAAACGGCCTTACACAGATGTCTGAGCCGATCTGCATTAGCGTATTGATCATTGAGCTAGGGAGTAGGGTGATGGCATTCCTGCAGGGTGATGGCATTCCTAGCTAGGGAGTAGGGTGATGGCATTCCTGCAGATGCTAGTACTTAATAGTGTGTCTGACTGACACTCACACAATACACCACTACATACCCATGATACCCCGACACTCACACAATACACCACTACATACCCATGATACCCTGACACTCACACAATACACCACTACATACCCATGATACCCCAACACTCACACAATACACCACTACATACCCATGATACCCCGACACTCACACAACACACCACTACATACCCATGATACCCCGACACTCACACAACACACCACTACATACCCCGACACTCACACAATGCACCACACATCCATGCCCCCTCCGGACACTGGTGTTCTTTCTTGGCAAGTACACGCCATATCAGAGTACATGTATGTGCCTTCTTAGTCCCACTGTACAAATAACTTTGCATTTACGGAGGAGAGGGGGGGGGGGGGGGCAAATTATCTTTCATTCCTATCATAACCGTATCACAACTGGTCTCGAATTTCCTGTCTCTGTTGCACTGTTCAGCCAGCTCATAACAGTATATGAGTGTATGCAGGCTCAGGACAGGACTGAGGTGATATGCTACTTTTTTCCCCAAATCTGTAGTGTTGTGAAACCCTTGACAAGATTGCCATGATTCTTGCAGCAACTGGATGAACCTGCGTGATGCAGCTTCCGGCAAGGTGCTCTGGCAGAGTAGCGAAGATATGTAAGTCTCTGTGACTGGGAGTACACACGGTGCTTGTTCATCTCCAGCTGTCTTGGTTTTGATAATGTGTATGTGTGTGTGTGTGTGTGTGTGTGTGTCTTGTGTAATCAATTGTGCTAGTGACGCTTATATCAGATCCACTCTGATTTAGCCACCCACACTAGTAGCAAGTATTACCTTCACTGGGGGCAGGGGTAACTGCAGTTGGATCCCAGGACGGATACCCTGATGCCGTCAATCCTTTTTCTGCACCTTGTCCTCACCCACTTACTGAGGTGTGGTGAGCCCATAAGTGGGATCATTTTGAAGTCCACCCAGAGTTTTGGGGATTTCAGAGGGTGTCGGCCGTTGGGCGGTTCAATAGCCAATTGAGTCATCTTTCCAAGATTCCTTTTGAGTCTCTCTCCTCTCTCCCGGGGAGACCCACGTGACCAGTTTTGGCAGTGTGCAACAAGTACAAGTGTGTGTGTGTGTGTGTGTATGTGTGTGTATGTGTGTGTATGTGTGTGTGTGTGTGTGTGTGTGTGTGTGTGTGTGTGTGTGTGTGTGTGTGTGTGTGTGTGTGTGTGTGTGTGTGTGTGTGTGTGTGTGTGCGTTGCACTGTTTTCATGTGTTAATTGACCGCTAGGTCCAAGCCAGGAAAAGAGCACATAGGTAAGATGGCTAGGCGTGCAATCCTAACTGACTATCCATCAGTAATTCTGCATAGGCTGCCCTGTGTTAGGGATATCAGCGAACGCACTGCGCAGCCCACTGCGCAGGTGATCACGTGCACATCTAACGCGGCCGACAAGCCGCGACCATCCACACCCGAAAAAATTCGCAAGTAAATCAGGATGGAAAAGAAGGACGGAATGGCGAAGAAGTGTCTGAGGAAGAAGACCAGCTAGAGCCGAGCTACTTCGAAGCTTCCCTCTACGACGCTGGACGATGGCTACAGAGGTTACTAGGAATACATTCATCATTTATTACACTGTTCTCGACGTCGTCCACAGGTTTTCCGAGGCACTTTCTTCCAGCTCAAAAATGGTCGATCATCAGCTAGATTTCGTAGAACGTCGGCTGGTACCTGGCAAGATCTAACCAGGGAAGTCCCCTTTTGAAGACGTCATTGAATTGGCGTGACCATGTGGACTACACGTGCCAAGATTGGAGGAAATCCACGGAGGCGTTCGCGCGAAAATAATTGAAAGATTACTTGGGCACCATGTACCACACATATGGCGCTTTTGAAGTTTTGAATGACAGTGGCAATACTACTTGTTCTCGCGTCGAGGACCTTTGCCCAAGTAGTTTCGGGTCATGGCTGTCTAGACAAGGGAGTAGGAGCCCAAGTCTTGGAAACTTGCTTGGCGTGGCTAGAGCAAAATCAACAAGTAAGTTTCGGACGCAACCAGAGGTCACCAGGTGGCCTGTTCAAGTACGAGTACTGTTCTTTGTTGCAAACATAGCTCCATCCAGCTACGAACGTCTTCTTCCTTCGTCATGTCTTTGCTTGAGAACGTTTAACAGGCATGGGCGCCGAAGAATATTGGCTCCTGATGTCTCCTTTCCTGAATGAATCGAGCTCAAGCAAACCAACAAACAAGCTTCTTGTCGAGTGTCGATTTTAATTTTTACTCCTTGCCGGTCTGCGCTGAGCCTGATCCGCGACGTGATTTCTGCGATCGCCATTTTTTCTTGTCGACCGTGCGCCTCATAGATTTCTGCATGACGTAAGACACGAACATGCTGCGCAGTGCTTTCGCTGATATCCCTACAGGGCTTTTAGTTGACTCCACGGTTAACCAACTCGTGTGGAGCAAATTTTGTGATATTACCAAGCCATTGTCCTTGCCTATTTTTGAGTCTGCACAAAACCCTTTGCAGCGAGCTGTTTTCATATACACTGTATAGCAAGCCATATCTTGTAGTGGAGCGTATAACTGATATTCGTACATTAAAACTCTTTAGGACGAACATCAAGGTACTGCTGGTATTTGTTCGCAACAATGGGAGTTCTTCTTATCCATTATGATTATGAGGCATGGGCAGCAAAAACCAGGGTTAGGTGATATTTGGCAAAAATTAGTTTTTGATGGGTTTGAACTGTCCACTAAATGAGTGATCTATGGGCCAAATTTTGGAGCTCTGGGCACCTACCAAGATGGTAAAAAACGCCCGAAATGATGGGTGAAGGTTGACAAAAATGGTCAGCAAAAAGGCAAAATGGAATGCAGTTACAGTTGGCTCTGATGGAGTGGTTGAGAATGATTTAGCATATTTATAGGTCTTGAGGGAAGCACAGCGTACTCTAGTTGGTAATTATAGTAACATTGTTGCCTGCACTTGCTGCTGTGCTTGAAAACTCAATCCCTGTCATGTGCAGGTGTGGTGTTGTACGCAGACTTGTCAGACAGAAAGAAGCCAAGCAACTGACGTTTTACATTGCTGGGAAGAACCTACAAGACTAGATATGCATGCTGGGCCAAGCCAGATACATCCACCAAGCATGCCTTGCTCTCCTTGATCCTACGCACAGGAGCTCGTAGATACATGCATTATACTGTGATAAATTTCATGAGCACTGCAAGCGTGCATGGTTATATATTGCAACAATTTTATTCACGAAATATCTTGTATCAAGTAAGGTTAAAGGGGAAGTATACCCTAAAATCAAATTTTCACCAGTTGTAGTCTTCTGGGTGCTAAGTCGAATGGTCTTGGTCCGAGGAAGCTGCGACGCTCCCTTCCTACTTTTTTCCCAATCGAACCCGCGCACTTCCACCGAAACTGGGTGATCGCGCCCTACTATATGTAGATGGGGATTTGTATGCAAAATGTCACTAAAAGCGCCATTTCGTTCTTATAAAAGCACGGATGACCGCGATTGGCCCATATGTTGTAGTCTTTTGGACGCTGAGTCGACTGGTTTTGGTCCGAAAAGGCTGCGATGCAGCGTTCCTCCTTTATTCCCAATCGAACATGGTTGAACAAGCGGTCACGTGCTCCTGGGTGCCCAAATCACAGGGCACCGCGCCAGCAGCCGACAACTTTCACACCAAGGTTCAACTCGAGTGACAGGACTGCACCCAAAAAAGGTCAAACAGGCTAGTAAGTTGTACCCTGCAGGCACGGTGACCAGGTGACTAGTGTACGCAGGAGCACGTGACCGCTTGTTCAACCATTTTCGATTAGGAATAAAGGAGGAACGCTGCATCGCAGCCTTTTCGGACCAAAACCAGTCGACTCAGCATCCAAAAGACTACAACATATGGGCCAATGGCGGTCATCCGTGCTTTTATAAGAACGAAATGGCGCTTTTGTGACATTTTGCATACAAATCCCCATCTAGTAGGGCGCAGTCACCCAGTTTCGGTGGAAGTGCGCGAGTTCGATTGGGAATAAAGGAGGAAGGGAGCGTCTCAGCTTCCTTGGACCAAGACCATTCGACTCAGCACCCCGAAGACTACAACTTGTGAAAATTTGATTTTAGGGTATACTTCCCCTTTAAGTTCATTCAGGGCTGTCTCCGTATCTCACCAACTTATCCAGCTGAGAATAGTCGCCACGGAGTACTGAATCCCGTTCGGCACTCTCAGCGCTGCTGTCCGCGTCGCCACTTCGTGTCACGGAGCTCTCAAACTCAGCGTCTCCGCTGCCTCCGCTGATGGCTTGTCATCTGAGCGAAACCTCTTCACTTTCACCTGATTCTTCTTGCGGGGGACTATCACAGGCAGCGGAGTATCTCTGGAGATCCAGCTGCCAAATATTCTAGTCGCTCGTGCTCCATCAAAAATTTGTGACGGGATCGTTCCGCCAAGAATTATTTGTTTCGCTCTCTTTTGAGCGCATGATTTGCAGATGCTACCCAGAGCGCAAACGCCTCCATAGTGGCTGAAAACGCCTACCTGGACGTCCCAAGTGCTTGGCGGATAAACTACAACTGCGACGACGACAAAATAATAGTGAAGCCACCAAGAGGAAGGCACTTTCAAAGCGATAGCGCTAGAAGTCTTTTCGCTTTGAACGCGGTGACTAAAAAACGACATCGGTTCGGTTTTTCGCAAATATTGGCATTTTGAAAAATCGCCAGGACCCCGGCCCCGGTTCTTGCTGCCGATGCCTCATATATCCAGTGAATAAGACATTTATCCAATGACTACTGGTTCTTCTAGAGCGAAGGTTCGTCTCATCATAGCGCCAATAAATATTTCCGAGATAACTCAAGACATGTGTTTCTGAGTCTGTGACTGAAGAACGTCACACGCGATATGGGTTTGCTATTGTGAAATTCTCCTGTTGATGATGATGATCAACTTCTTGCCCTGCCTGTGCAGCTCGTGTTCCGAAGAAGATTCTCAAGTGCAGGAGTGTGTCCCGTGAAATAAACTTTTCCTCGAGAGAAGCAATCAAGAAGCTGCGTCTTGAGCAACGTGTTATCTTGAATGATACTGTCCTGGAAGGTACTGCCATTGATATTGATCGGGGTTAACCACTGTTGCTGATGTTCTGGTGGTATTGATATTGTTCTGAGTGATATGGCTGCTTGTGCTGCAACTGATATGCACACTGTGGATTCATCAGTAGGTTGAAGGCGAGTGGACGCTTGCAATCGTTTTCATTTCAACACTCCATATAAGTGGCTATTGAATCGGTACATTTCGTCTTGTGAAAGGATGCAGTGGCAAGTGCACAATTGTCTGCTTGTCTTCTACTATTAAAAAAAAACCAGTTAAAGCAAATTTTTTAATGCACATTGCCATCTCTCTCCTTCTTGAACAATGGCCTTGGAAGTCAGGCCAGGGAACTGGCACATAAGGAAATATAATAATAGTTATGATTCTCATGGTGTAAACCCAATGGTCCAAGGTTACGGTGGTCGACATTGCTATCTGTTCTGCAGGCAGAGAGTGATATTTGCCGATGCTCAGTACAGCTACACTGGATTCGTGTTTGTACGAGTGACCTGTATATTTCAGGTGTGCACATTGAGCAAAGCGGGCTGTCGTTCTGGTTGCAGCTGAGAGGTTGAGACCTGTGATTGGCACATGGTCATCAATCAGAGAAACCATCAGACCTATAAATCCTCGCGAGAGCATTGGCATACTGATAATGACTGAGTGATGCTGTGATGCTGGTCGAATAGAATTGCAATGGACATACTACAGTAGATGTACGGGCGGGGGGTCGCTTACCTTGGAAATGTGTGAATGTGCGTGCGCTTGCTTCTCTGCTTCTGCAGAATGGTTTTTCGACTTTGGATTTGTCATCCCGAACTCCACAAACACATGGCAGTCAATCATTGAGGCAGCACCTGCTCAAGATATGATCCCCGCTAATGTTCTAAGGTGAGAGGATGAACATGGATGTGATAGATATGATATTCCTGGGAGACTTGAGGAATGTACAGTCGATTCCACTTAAAACAAACTCTCGCATATAGAGAATTTCATGATACAGTGGTCCCTCTATAATCCGGCACCATTTGTGCCACGAAAATCTGCTGGATTAGGGAGGGTGCTGGATTAACAAATCTGATTTACTGCTGCAATGTGCATGAAGAGGACATTTTGGCTACTGAAAATTGTGCTGGTTTATCGAGGGTGCTGGATTATAAAGTGCCGGATTAGAGAGGGACGACTGTATAGCGAACCGCAGTCCATGTTCCAATTTGAACCCACAGTATTAGTGCATTTCTGTTATAACGAACTTCGGCTATAAAGAACTAATTCTCCTGCATATTAAATGGTGTTCGTTATATCAGGAGTCGACTGTATTCATATCTCGGTCAATTCTTTGCCAAATTTAAATAAACCTTTCAGGGTCGCAGTGCATTTATAGTAGGGGTGAACGAGTGAATCATTAAGCTATAATATTCTAGCGAGGTATCGAGTGTCGAGTGTCGAGTGTTTAATAGTAATGAAATGTACACACTCTAAGTATCTGCTCTAGGATTTCTAATAAATCGGATACACGTGTTGTTCCTAGCACACCTCTTGCAACCCGGCCAGTCAGTGGGATGTGTTCAAGTGCGACTATTGCATGTACCAGTCGGTACATAAGGAGTTGTATACTCAATGATGTACATGTTGATGTGTGAGACAATACGTACTAGGCACTTTGTCTGCGGGAGCCTGCATGCACGCCCCTGCAGCCTGTCAGTCGGGGGGGGGGGGGGGGGGGGGGCTATCATTCAAGAGGGGCTTTTAACCAAGTGTGGACGGAATGCATTGCTAATGCAGTATGCACCCGTTAAGAACTCTGTACGGGGACGGGCGCTTCCATGCCGGAAATCGTTATTATTCTTGTCTATACTGTTTTGCTTCTTGTTCTGCTCGCACATACACACAGTGGCAAGGTGATTATTGAAACCTTGTTCTTTGACGAATCAGAGCTGGTCAGTACCTCTCTTGTTCGAGTCTTCTATGTTTAAGTGGTCCGCACTGACAGCGGTGCCGACTGCTCGCAACGCTGCTGTGAAACGGATATGTTCTCTCCATAATTTCTACGACATGATGGTGGGAAATCGAACACGTATATTAATAATATATGAACAAAACACGCGCAAGTTCTTGAAACTGCTAACCGCTACCCTCATAACTCTTCCATTATCTATAACTGTAGCTGTCACTTGAGAACATGTGTGTACCTTTTTGAACATCATTTTGCTTGCCACATCTTCCTTTTTGTTGTGTGTGTGCCCCGAGCGTGTGGGTGGGTGGGTCTTCCCACTGTTCCTGTGTCTGCTTTGACTTACTGCCTGTCTCTGCTGGTGGCACTTTTAAAGGATGTTGTTTGGATATCAATGATTCAGTCGCTTGTGGCTTTCTCTCGTGATCAATCTTTCTGTTGTGACGGCCCTACCGTGAATATAGCAAAGTGAAAACATATTTATATCCACTCACACGGGACAGCAATGAGTTCATCGCTATGGAATGCTCACGAGTCGTGTAAATTTGTCCTCCTTTTCCAAGCCAGCCAAGTCCTCACATTTATTATCTCCGGCCACCTTGCTTGGTATGTACTGAATTTTCAAACAAATTTTATTTTGCGCTGAGCCATATACTTTTAACATTTTGTCGGTCGGGTTTCTGTTCAGTGTGTTGTTTGCGTATTTCAGGTGCATGCACAGGGTACAGGACTGACTGATTTGCATGCCCATAGAGCCGTCCGACAAGTCAATTGCTGAATATCTGCAGGGACAAGGGAACTGGATAAGCCGATTGGCGTGTTCACCACACCAGTGAGGCAAACCGTAGCAGTGGCTGTTGTTCTGCTCCAGCTGATTGTGCACCGACCGGAAGTGAATGAAAGACCGGGCAATCAAGGCCTGACCACTCTGTGACTATGTTGTAATTGGAGTCTCACGCACTAGCCATGGGAAGGTAGCTATCCTCACGTAGGTCAGCACCACAGGGACACGACGTTAAAAGGTTTCCTGTGAGTCTGTCATTATATGAGTCACTATAAACCTGGTCTGCATTCCATCCCGTGAGGCTTTTCTGAATCATCCCTACAATACGTGTAATACGATACGAGTACATGTGGTATGAATGCACACAGAATGCCGGTTTTGTAAACTGACTCGGATACATATACACTGAGCGGATCAATCCATACCACTGTAGTGCATTCAAATGCGCGTCACTCGACCATCATTCTGTGGGCCGATTTGGACAATCAAGTGGTGTATCGCTTTTAGAATACCCTGAGCTTCTGTTTCAACTACAACTTACAAGTACTCAAATAGCTCGATGTCTTGATTGGATTGAAAATCTCCTTCCATACCAACCCATGGACGAAAACAAACTCTACTCTTCAATCTTAGATGGGGTAAAATAGTGTAGAGGGACAATGAGAGATTGTTTTAAAAATGTATGCATGCACTTGTGTGTTTTTATGTTTTATGTGAGTGTGATTTCTCAAGATGGAACAGTGGATACAGTAGCATTCCTCCAACCTGCGTGCAGCTGATGGCTGAGCTCTGTGACTAGGCTAGCCATGGCGCTGTCTTGTGCATGGTTGACGGTTTCGTTCGGGTCCGTCATGAAGTCGTACAACTCTGTGCCGAGCAGCTTAGACCAGATAGGGCCATGCGAGGTCTTGTTGTAGCCTACCCATTCTGTGTAGCGGTACCGCTGCGTGCGCATTGTGTAACCCATGTCTCCACCTTTGGGCCACTGACTGAATGCCGCTGGGCTCCACGCAACAGCCGGGTTCATTACTAATGGGGCTAGAGAACGGCCCTCCGTGCAAACGTCAACAAGTTTGGAATCGGACGGGCACTCTGTGGGCACAGGCAAGCCAGCAAGCTCAGCAAGTGTTGGATACACGTCTACAAGCTCAGTAAGTGCTTGGCTGATGGCACCCTTCTGGCCGCCCGGTGCCGATATGAACAGAGGAACGTGAGTGGCATGCTCAAAGTTGGTGTGCTTTGCCCACTCGTTGTTCTCTCCGAGATGCCAGCCATGGTCACCCCACAGCATGACCACTGTGTCGTTTGTCAGGCCAAGCTCATCCAGAGCATCCAGAACTCTGCCGACCTGCGCGTCCACGAATGTTGTGGTTGCGTAATACGCTCTGCGGTGGATGCGTGTGTGCGCGTCACTAAGCGGCTGTTCCTGGGAGAAGTGATCCTGAAAGAGAGGGAGCACACATGACAAAACTCAATCAGTGCTAACAACTAGATAGAGCAGCTCAATGTACAGCACTGGCCAGGACATAATGATTTTCTATTGCACAGTATTCATGTAGCTGTACAACCAGCCAGCTGTTAAACATTCGCACAAGTTTCTTTGTCGTATGGAAGGATTGTTTGATAGATTGCCATGTTGATCGGTTGACAGCATGTTACACTGAAGGCGGAAACACACTGTGTTGAAAACAGTGCGGCTCCTGACCACCATTGTCGATTGGCAGAGGCCCGGTCTCGCGACCATTTGAACCGTATCGGGTCTGGCCCCGGTTCGGACCCTCATATCGTGACAAAAGACTCCCTAGTGTAATTTACTAGGGTCCGGACCGGGGCCAGACGGTTCAAATGGTCACAAGACCGGGGCCAGACGGTTCAAATGGTCACAAGACCGGGGCCAGACGGTTCAAATGGTCACAAGACCGGGGCCAGACGGTTCAAATGGTCACAAGACCGTGGCCAGACGGTTCAAATGGTCACAAGACCGGGGCTCTGCCAACCGATGATGGTTGTAACTAATTACTTAGTCAAGTAGTCAGGTGCACTGTTTTCAACACAGTGCATCCTCCGCCTTCAGTGTAACATGCTATCAACTGATCAACATGTTTCTTTGTCGTAAAACCTGGCACTGGATGTGCAAACAAGACCTCTCTAGTCTCTAGGGGTTCAAGATTTCTCTGGTCGCGTACCATATGTGCTTCCACCTGCGAGTCATTGTACGACAGGAACTCGTTACAATTGTTCCACGTGACGTTCGGCAAGTTCTTCGGCACGTTGGGATTTGCCGGCAGATCCATCTTCTCCAGTGGGTACATGTCAAAGTACTTCTTGGGAGCGAAATGTGGAAGGTGTGGCTTGTGAAATCCCACAGCCAGAAAGAATGGTGTTTCAGCGTTGAATTTGCTGAGATTGTGCATCTGCGAGATAGCGTTGAGAGCGATCATACCATCCGGTACTTGGTCATCCGTAGCTGTCTCATTCGATATCCACGAGTGATTTCTATGGGGAAAACCCCTAGGTTCTGCACACGGAAGACTTCCAAGCTGCGGACACGGAGCATGGTAATAAGGTAGAGACCAGGCTAAGCGATCTTCACCCAACTCGAGCCCATCACAAACTCCAGGATGGAAGATTTTACCGCCCCCAGCCGTAGTATAACCGTTCTTCTTGAAGAAATGAGGTAAACTAGTCCAATTGCCTGCATTTCTGAAGCATCCTCCATTTGACAATACGTGTGTGGTGTCTGGTCTTCGTCCTGTGAGTAGTGATGAACGACTAACACCACATGTAGCTGCTTGGCAATAAGTTCGTTTGAACGTTACACCTCTCTGCGCCAATTTGTCCATGTTGGGTGTGAGGACTTGGGGTGTGTCGTAACTCTGTCCGAAATGAGGTCTCAAGTCGTCCACGGCTATCATCAACACATTCTTCGGACTGCTGAACGAAGTCAGCGATGGCTGCGCAATGCTAAGAAGAAGAGCCAATGCAGTTGCAAACGCTACAATCGCCATTTCTGCCTGATTTACTTCCGTCTCCTAAAACTACCCCTACAAAACAGGTCAGATCAGCACCGGAGGTGAAGGTATCGACCATTGCGAAATATTTTCTCTTTGAAAGAAAAATCGCACTTCTGAAGTCTCGGTCTGCGGAGCGCAGACCTACAATGTATCTGAGACAGCCAGTTGGCGTGCGGGATCGCAGTGCGGGTGCACCGGTGGCCAAGCTCTCGACCACCGATACAAGTCACTGATACTGACTGCATGGGCCAGGGATATAATAATATGCCGCTTTCTTGATCATGATCGTGTATCTGAGCTATGCGTAGTCTAGTGTCGCAGTGTAGAATCTGATGTAAAACTAAAAAGTCTGCAGACCTTTTTTTTCGATCACATGATACTCGCATGCTTCTAAATAGTGACCCGAGGCCGAGGACGTACACGTCGCTCCTAGACAATGGTGGTCCATCGCAGACTACGCCAGAAACCAGGTAGGCTTTTACGACTCCCTGCCAGAAACCAACGGTAGGTGCAAGAGGTGTTGGAGGCATCTTTGTAAATAACCATGCAGATCTACTTGTAGAGACATGTTTAGCTCTCCTCAGACTCCTGGCCAGGGAATAGTACAATGCCTCGGAGGTCTAATTCCCGGCCCAGGTTCGACATAGTGAGGGCAGCACCAATCTCCTTTTCAGCTCCGCATTCGCATTCCTCCCCAGCTGAAGTCGGGTGCCCAATCCCAGATGAGTCTCCCGCATGTGGTCATCTACTAACTAACTAATTACTTCGCACAAACTAATCGACGCCGCAACCTGAGCCGACTTCGCGACTCGTTTGGGACTGGGAGGGCAATACCCAAACCAGTTTTGCCAATTACACACCCCATTGTGTGGTTGCAGAATAGAGACTCAATGGACAGGGACGTCCTGGGCCCTCCAACCAGTGGCAGTGACTGATCTTCGCAGGCGGAGAGATGCTGCTCAAAAAGAAATCCGGCTACAGCTGCACTCGGCGGGATCGTGGTCGAATACCAAACGAACAGAACGATACTGGATTACTGATATGAATGGAATTTCACGCCTCTACTCTCTAGCTTGCAGTATACTACTGTGGGCAATTTAGTATTTTCTCCCTTTATTGTTTTGTTATAGGAGCGGGGAGATAATAACTTGACTTTGCCTTTTTGACTTACGAGTTTGGCTTCAGTATTCGAGTCATTGTAGGACCGAAACTCGCCACAGCCGTTCCAGGTGACCTTGGGCAAGTGTTTGGGTACATTTGGGTTAGCAGGTAAGTCCACTTTCTCCAGTGGGTACATGTCAAAGTACTTCTTAGGCGCAACATGTGGAAGATGTGGCTTGTGAAAGCCGACAGCTAAGAAGAATGGTGTTTCAGTGTTGAATTTGCTGAGATTGTGCATCTGCGAGATAGCGTTGAGAGCGATCATACCATCCGGTACTTGGTCATCCGTAGCTGTCTCATTGGACACCCAGGAGAAGGGTCTCCCTTGACCAATGGGACATGGGAAACTTCCATGGCTGGGACATGGAGCATGGTAATAAGGTAGAGACCAGGCTAAGCGATCTTCACCCAACTCGAGCCCATCACAAACTCCAGGATGGAAGATTTTACCGCCCCCAGCCGTAGTATAACCGTTCTTCTTGAAGAAATGAGGTAAACTAGTCCAATTGCCTGCATTTCTGAAGCATCCTCCATTTGACAATACGTGTGTGGTGTCTGGTCTTCGTCCTGTGAGTAGTGATGAACGACTAACACCACATGTAGCTGCTTGGCAATAAGTTCGTTTGAACGTTACACCTCTCTGCGCCAATTTGTCCATGTTGGGTGTGAGGACTTGGGGTGTGTCGTAACTCTGTCCGAAATGAGGTCTCAAGTCGTCCACGGCTATCATCAACACATTCTTCGGACTGCTGGCTGCTGCAAGCGGCAGTTGAACAGCGCTGAGAAGCAGCCCTGGGAGTGCCAGCGCCATGCACCAAAGCCAGTTTCATAATAGCTCGTTCTTCCATCGTATAGGTTGTTCTATAAAAAGGCTGCTCGCCTTGCGAGGCTCTTCGTGTAATTTTCCTAAAATACTTCTAGTACACGATATAACATCTTTCTTGGACGTGGCACACATGGATGAAGACACTGACTTTACAGGCGCTGAGCAGTAGCTTGGAGTTGGAGGCGTCGACACGGTCACCTACATGTATTTGTAGCACCTGTGCTGTACTGTACTGTACTGTACTGTACTGTACTGTACTGTACTGTACTGTACTGTACTGTACTGTACTGTACTGTACTGTACTGTACTGTACTGTACTGTACTGTACTGTACTGTAGTACTAGTAGTCATACTGCATCACTCACAGTGCATTTTGACATACATGTAGACCTACGTGCAAGCCTCATCTTCCTTACTCACTGACCATAGCTTAGTCGATCGACAGGCGGAGCTGTCGCAAAATGACGGCAACGAGTCATACTCATAAGTCATAGGATAAGGAGTCAGTCTGCAGCCCGTGGTCACGTGGTGTGCACATCCCGGGTGATTCATCTGCAACTACTATTACTAGTATTAGTACTAACTAACGGAGGCCGCGATATACATGTACAGTGCGCGGTATTATTATTATTACGATACCGCTCTGAAAATGAAAAAGAGCTTCCCCAGTGCGAAATCTAGTGCCCTATGAAAAACACAATGTGCACTAAAGTCTTGTACAATACATGTACGTAGATTGCCACAAGTATTAGTTGCTTAGGCTTCTGCTGTAGCATCGCTATCATCGCCTCCAACGATGGGCCTCAAAGGTTAAGGTCAAGGGGGGGGGGGGTGGGGGGTGGTGGAGTCTACTATTTGACCACTGATATCCAGGTGTATGTAGCACATAAATTGTCTTACCTCCCTGGACTCCACATGGGAATCGTTGTATGAGAGAAACTCGCTACACGCATTCCACGTTACTTTAGGCAGGCCTTTGGGAACCCTTGGATTGACTGGCAGATCTACATTCTCCAGTGGGTACATATCAAAGTACTTCTTGGGCGCAATGTGAGGAAGATGTGGCTTGTGAAACCCGACGGCCAGGAAGAAAGGTGTATCTGCGTGATATTTGGTGAGATTGTGCATCTGCGAGATGGCGTTCATGGCTATGAGCCCATCCTGTACTCCATCATCTGTGACTGAATCATTGGCAAACCAGGAATAGGGCCTTGCCGCGAATGTTCGGGGAGGAGCACATGGCGTGGATGTTCCAAGGCGTGTGCATGGTGCGTGGTAGTAGGGAAGGCTCCATGCTAAACGATCCTCACCGAACGCCGCACCATCGCACACACCGACATGGAAGATTTTTCCGCCCCCAGCTGTGGTGTAGCCTTTGGTCTTGAAGTAATGTGGTAAACTAGTCCAGTTTCCAGCATTCCTGAAGCATCCCGTATTTGTTAGTACGTGTGTGGTGTCTGGTCTTCGTCCTGTGAGGAGTGATGAACGACTAACACCACATGTAGCTGCTTGGCAATACGTTCGTTTGAATGTTACACCTCTCTGCGCCAATTTGTCCATGTTGGGTGTGAGGACTTGGGGTGTGTCGTAACTCTGTCCGAAATGAGGTCTCAGGTCGTCCACGGCTATCATCAACACATTCTTCGGACTGCTGTCTGCTGCGAGTGAGAAGTGAGCAAATCTCAGAATGCAGATCACTATCGCGGCCATTACTTGCGTCAACCTCAGGGGAGATTGTCCATCCATGCCCACGGGAGTGTTGACTCTTTGGCCAACACGCTGTGCACGCTGTATATACCGGTACCAGCGCTTGGTCAGAATAGCCGAATACATGTACAATCCTTCTGTCCTGCCGCTATCACGGTACAAGCTGCTCTGCTGTAGTCATCCGCTGATTCGGCACGGTAGATGTTTATACCAGGCGATTATGAATGAATAATGTCCCGTTTCGCAAGTGATGTCCCGTATTTTGTGGATGATGCCACAGTCTTTGTCGTAAGTACATGACCACTGTACAACATTTTGTGTTGTCGAATCTACCAGGCCAACGCGACCAGGTCCAGGGTAGAGCATGTGCATGTGCCCAGTGTTGACTCCGAGGCCCACGGTCGGACGAGCTGCCCAGGTCTCACCACCACTGCCGTTTCTGTGCTGCCTTCTCAATACATGCGTATGTACACTGTATATCATGTGCACATTCACATGTACATGTCTGAAGGTTTGTGGTTTTTCAATAAAAATAAATAAATAAATGTCATGACAACTGGCCTGCATAGCAACCACTGGCACGACAAGCCGCCGAGTCGTACTGCCTGCAGCTCTTTCCACTTCCAGTTTGGGCGTGTACCCTTGTACTTGTTGTAGGAATGAACACTACAGTAGTACAGAGGCGAGTACACTGATTACCGGTACATCGTTCCTAAAGAATTCAGGGTAGACGAGTGAAGCCCCGCGGTCTGTTTCATGTAGCGTTGTCGTCTACTTTCGCTGGGATCTGATTTTTTTATAAAAAGCACAAGCGAATGAAGGGAGTGGTCGGAAGACGAGTACTGTATGTATCACTCGAGCGAGCATAAATTCTTTCGTGAATACAATAGGGTGTTGGGTTTGACTTTCGAGAAACGTAATTTAACCACATCAAAGTATGTACATGTATAAACTCTGGATGAGTAACACGGGTAAATGGTAGGAATGAAGTCTCCATACATTGTGTCGCTTTTAAAGAAGAGTTGATCATGCCTTCTTGGTCATGTAGGGAGCAACACACTCTTCCCCTTCTTGGTAAGTTTGACAAAAATAGTGAGTGGCATAGACTGAGTGGCATAGACAAGCAACACATCATTACAATTGTGCAGATATACTTATACATGCAATTGTACAATTAGATTGCGAGAGTCGAGAATACTACAATGTAGTCCTCAGAAATGTTATATCATCTGGGTTCCTCAAAATAGATTTAGCAGCTGACTAAAGAAACAGGGCGGCGCCTTGCAGTTGATTGGGATTTCTTCTTTCCTGATCATTATAATGGTTCCCCGAGCTTGGTTCAACGCTTTCGTAGTACCTTTGCCATTGCAGATCATATTGCTGTTTCAAGTGGTCTGCGTGAAGTTCTTGTGTTTTTCACCCGCTTCTGTCTGATATATAGCCACGCAGCACATAGAAACCCCGGCAGTAGACGTGCGAGTTCCTCCAACACAATGAGCGCCATCGAGGGATGGCTCCCTTGGGTGCAGGCAAGCGAGCGTGGTTGCTGCTGACAAGCCAAGATGGTCTTTTCCCAGTGATCAACAGTGTTAGGTGCTTGGTTCACACCAACTGCACCAATCAGAACTCCACCAAACGTGAGGAGAGCCGAGATGAACACGACAGATACCATCCATGACTCTTCCTCATTGCTGGATACTGGATCATCATGAACTCGGGCACTGTGCCTGGGACGCTTTACAAGTGGCACAGTGAAGCTGAGACCACCTTTCGGCTGCCTTTGCTGATTATAGCGTATGATAGCAGCGAGGATAGTTATGATCAAAGTGAGAAGGTAGATTCCAGCCAACGGTAGTATAAATTGTGAGACGCTGAAAGAGCGCTGTACCTGGCAGAGTTGAGTGATACTGCTGCCCTCTATGCTTCCGACAATGGCAACTGCTGATGTAAACACCATGGCCATGAACACAGCAACAGCAGTTAGGTAAGTGAAGCAGTACGATTGATTGATGCTTGCGTCTGTGTAGAGCATGGCATGTTTTAGGAACACAAGACACGCAAACACCAGACCCCAGAGAGCGGATACTGTGCACATAAAATGTGTCGAGAGGAATACCCCCACACAGGTGCCATCTTTCAATGCGGACGATGGCTGATGAACCATTCCATGGTGGCGACTGCAAAACACACCTTTACCATCCATCATCGTGATTATGCGCGTTAGAAATAGTACCATGGACAGAACAGCCATCGACATTGTCAGAAGCACAACAGGTTTATCCAGTAACTCAAACAGGCGTCTTCGATGCGTGAAGTAGAAGCAAACTGCAACCATGGTTGCCCCAAAAGTAGTCAATGATAACAGCAAACGAATCACTGTAAGGGCTATCGGACTCGATAATTCCTGAGCGATGCTCCCCTTGCACGGGATGCCGCAGTGGGAGATATTGGCCACATTGAAAAACGTCGAACTGTTGTCGGTGCTCATCGACTTGGGGCATACACTCTTGTCCGGCTGAGGTGCTGACTTGGAAGTGTGTTTTTGTTGCGTTCTTCCAGACAGCTTCTCATCAGAACCGCCTATCCTCCGGAACGGTATTACATCGTAGCCAGTCACAGCGTCCGAGTCGCCATAAAACTCATAACAGTTTTTTTCCGGAAGGTCTGAGCACTTCAGAAATCCTGGCCATTGCACTCCAAAGAGGAGATCCATCTTTGGCGAGCAGTCACTATGCACTGCTTCACAGAGTCTACGGCAGGGCAGTACTACCTTTTCCATTAACGGCATGTCTCCCTCGCCTGGTAGACACATCGGCGCCAGGCTAAAGCACAGGAAACGGAACAAATGCCGATGACACACCCTGCTCGCTATAATGGGCTCGAAGTGGTTCATGAACCCTGACACATATATCTGCTGCTCTGGGTGAGAGACGGTGAAGTTGTACCAGAGGGTCTCGCTACAGTAACTCACCTCATTCGGCATACACCGGTCAAAATACTCGCCGGTCCCTGTGCTACTTGATGCGGCGACCACCAGCAGTAACAGCATTGTCCAACAATTCATCACGAACGGGCGGATTTGGCTTGGGCAGTGACGATACCTTCTCGTTACCGGTGACGAGCAAGTGCAGCGTAGTAGTGCATGGGCATCAACAGCCATTCCGCTAACACGGCTGACAGGAAGAACTAACTACTTACTTCTGCAACGGCGTCGATTCGTAGATGGCAATGTCAGCTCAATCAGAGACTGAACTGTTCCAGATGCAGCTAGCTAATCTGTGGCACAGGACTCTGGTGATACACTCAAGCAGGTCGAGCGAAGCCACCGAATGCGGATCGGAAGAAGGCTGCAGATTGACTAGCAGCGCAGTCACCATGTGACTGAGGTGGATCACAGCTAACTAACTTCCTCTCCTCGTAACCCTCACTACTTGCCAGCGGCACACGATGTACATGGAAGTCCAATGATTAGCCAATCCTCGGCGAGAACACACTTATGAATTCAGTGAGACGCATTTAAACTCCAGAGCTGGGTCACGGAGCGCCGGGAAAATTGTAAACTGGACAGATCTTCTTGATCTCTCACTCTCAGTTCATCAAGAAACTGTTACTCTCTCGTCTGCGTCTGCATCCCATACTGCCAACCAATATTACACGTACTGGCAGTAGTACTCAACAACAGGACACCACACTGACGGCAGGTGGGTGACTTGCTGACTGTTTCCTGATGTTGAGCTATGTGGTCGACGGTCTAACTAAAATTACTTCTAACTCTAAGTCTAACTGAGACTAAGACTAAGACTAAGTAAGAGCTGAGTTGGTGCTGCCTGATGGTGGGGGTGGTTCTGCTTACCTATGACGTATGACGTACGGTACGTACAGTAACTGTTACTGCGCAGTGAGTCGCATCCCGTCCATGTCTGAGCTGAGTTTTGATAAACTAATACTACTCTAAGTAATAGTGACTGCTGCATGCAGCGACCGCGTTGGAGGTTGACTTGCAGCATCCCCCATATAATCCTCTGCTTCTGCACAGTCAGTGCAATGCGGGGTACTGCCAGACGATTAGTGGACGCCTTGTCTTGGACCTACGCAATTCCACTGTCAGCCTATTCCTAGATCCTCTGTCAGCCTATGCACGCCTGTGTTTGTGGTGTACGCGTACGTGTGTACGTAAGTCGTTCGTGTGATGATGGTGACGAAACTGTGACTGTGAGAGAAGGTGACTGTGACTGCTTCCTTGCTCCTGAGCCTGAGGGGTGTACACGTGCAAGGTACAAAGATGACCACCGCTTTGCGGGTCCTGATACTAATACAGTAATAGTAATACATTTTGTTAGTCGGAATCGAGGAGAAAAGGCTGGAGATACGCTGCTTTTCGGGGCAAGCGACTGCCTGGACATGGCTAGCTACAAGGGAACGTCGAGTGTTGCAGCAGGAAAGGAAAGATGTAACTCTGATGGGTCGATAGCAGTCATTCGCCAGGCCAGCTTGGGCAGCGAGGATTACTTGGCCGGCGTAGACTTGGAGAAGTAAGTCGGTTAGGATATTTTGCTGTCACTGAATTTCGCGAGCTAACCGGCACTGTTCACGTGGCGGTTGCGCCGATGCGGTAAAGACTGCTGCTGTATGGCACCCGTACAGCCCCCCCCCCCCCGAAGGTGAAGCTAGCACAACTACAGGCCAGATGCAGGCGTAATGGCTAGTGCAGTTCTTCATGACTGCGTGACAACTAGCTTGGCAACCATGCCGTGACGAAGTGCCCAGAAATAGTGCACTTAAGTGCCTACACATTATAAGACCACTGAAAACATGACATGACACATGTGACATGACTGATTGTCCCTGCACCTTGCATATTTCAAAAATTTTAATGTAGGCGACATGTAGCCTTTGTTGTCCGTTTCAATCAGGATGGATGTGTCAGGTTGGATGTGTTCATACTACTAGTAGTATTAGTAACATGACTACGAAGTGTGAAGATACAGTCAACACGACGACAGCTCCACTACTAGTACTGCACTGGCACTAGCTAGAGTTGGGAGTCAAGGACTATTCAAGCACAGCATGCAGGTTTCACTCTCCAAAGGAGGTCAGTGCGAATACTTAATCCAATTCAAGGCAATTGTCACCCGCCCAACACTGGAGCGTGTGTCACCTGTAGCGGCACGCATTCCCCATCATTAACCACCCATCAATATTAATATTATTTTCACTTGCAGGAGTACATGCAGGCCTTGGAGAGGAGGGGGACCATTACTTCGTAGATCTACGACTACGACTCCGAGCACTACGCGTACTGTGTGTTCCCATCACCACCATACATGTACATGTACACTGCATCATGCACTTGTACATTTACATGTACATGATGTATCTATCCTGCCTAGGATAGCGACCTAGCACCTCCTCGCAGGGGATGCGTGGCGAAAATTCTTACCCGGACCCGTAGAAACGCGATCACCACACCAACCATCATAATAATTCTTGAATCTTGCACAGTGAAGCTGTTTATTATGTACATGTACCTAAGAAGTTGTCCTTGTTGTTCTGTTCTGTATTACGCTCTGCCTCCGCGGTGTTGAGCACTGTCAGCGCACTGGGTACAGCGCACTGGGTACACCCTCCGGTATATACATGTACATGTATACATACATGACACTCAATCTGCATACATGTATATTTTGCATTGTTTTTGCTTACTGCCATGGCTGGCTATCGCCCCCCCCCCCCCCATTCCTCCATATTGGCCTATAATGCTATATTCCCTGGCCACGGGAGAGAGAGAGAAACATAGGGCCTAGGGAGAGAGCAAAATAAGGAGATATATCCAGTTTGATGTTACGTTGCACTGTCGGGCTAATAATATGGGATTACATTGATTTGTAACTACATTCTAGTTAGATGAACATAATATAATTGCCTCGCACAGAGCCTTCCTTACGGCAGGCAGCTGTTGCCCGGAGCGAATGAATGCAGATCTCCCAGAGTCAGGAGTCTACCCAACCCGGCTTTCTGCAGATCTTGAGGCAGCACGCTGGGAAGTGTGACGCGTGGCCGGCCAAGCCATCTGGTGCTGTTGTTTGCGAAGAAGATTTCCATTGCCAAGACTGAGGGGATTGATGATGAAATAATAATAATAAGATGTGGAAGAATGGACTCGGATGGAGAGTCAAGGATATAAAAGTATTTATAGAAAAGAAAAAAGGACCAAGGAACTACAAACAAACTGCGAGGAGATAATAATTTGCGGTTATCAAGGAACTACAAGTTACGCTATAATGTCCACTAACACCACCAGTTACTAAACAATCAGCTCATGCGATAACATTGCACGACTATGATCGATGGTGCTGACGTGCTTGTCTTGGTTGCGCTCACCTTCACCACTTATACACGTACAAGTACATGTATATGTTATCACATAACTAATAATTATTACTTAGAACCTTCCAAGTTGGAAGGCTGTTGGAGTGCGCATCCAAGATGTGCTAGAGTTGTTAGCCAGTTAGTTGTAGAACGTCAGCACCGTCGGTCAGTGTCGTGCATTGTTATCGCATTAGCTGATTGTTTAGTAACTGGTGGTGTTAGTGGACATTATAACGTAACTTGTAGTTCCTTGATCCTTTTTCTTTTCTATAAAATAATAATATTATGAAGAAGATGTTGGTGCGACTTCGGGATACTTGGGGAATTAGGGAGGTTTAGTTCCCACGTAACGGAAACGCGTACGGTAAAGAAGTGGATGAAGGGCACCCACGTTGCAATGTTGTGTTTAGTCACACGGAACAAACAAAAGCATCAAGCGAAAGGCCCAAACCTGGTCAAAGACGAAGCTACCCGGGCCTAAGAAGCTCATCCAATATTAATTTTGATTTCATGCTTCGGAAACTTCTTCAGCTGAGCACCCTCACAGCTCGCACAATGCGCTCCATTCTGATTTTCACCCACGTTGTGGCGGAACGTGGGTAAGCCTCCATACACGGTATGTCGTGGATCAGAAAAGGTACGCTTTCCAACGGCCAAAGAGAGTTGGAAAGCTTGTGTCTTTGTGGGTAACTTGGACATTTGGGGCTCATGTATCAGACTTCCGCTCATCTATACAAAAACATATAGGGTACCCCGTAAGAAGGCCTTAGGCCTGTGGGAATGCCCTATTAAACATTTAATAAATAATAATAATAATAAATGTAAAATCGCACTGATTTTGGGATTTCCCTGCAACTTTTTGCTTCAGCAAAAATGTTGTGCTTGACCGCATTCCTGTCACTTCGCAGTGGCTTTTAGTTGGTGCAGTTTGTATCCCACCCTCCCACCCCTGACGTCTGGGTGTGTGTTTATCGATATAATAATCGTATTGGCCATGTGGCTGTGGCAGTCACGACTGCTTTTCTTTTTTAGTTAAAAAACGTAGGGGTGGTGTGTGCGTCGCGGGCCTTTGTATGGTTACGTACAGCTTCAGATTGTATGGCTAGTGCCAGGGGAGTTCAATTGAATCTGCATGGAAAGAATACTACTGTATTGTGATTGAACTGAAGCTGGATGATGACCGTGTGGTGAGTGTGTGGGGGTTTTCAAGATACCGTCCTGGGGCAGGGATGTAGGTCCTTTAGCTTGGACGGGTGTTGTTACATTCATTGAAACATCTTGTCGTTTTCTGTGTGCTTTGCTGTGCGACTAGCAGCAGTATCTTGTGCTTATATTTCTGTTATTGTCGTGAAAGTGGACCACAAAGACCGTCTGTACGTGGCCGTGGGTCACTGAGTATCACGTCACGTGGTACACACACGTAAAGTACCCACGGATTACGTGGGAATATACCTCCCTATTAGGGAGGTTCCGGAGTACGATTTTTCGTGCCAAAATCCGTGGAGGCTCTACGGATTTTTTATACGTCGTTTTCGAGCAGTGAAAAGTTCCGGGGTACGGAACTTATGTGTTTGCCGTCATTGCCTAGGTTACGATCGCAAACACGTCACATTCCCGCGCTATGCCTTTTTATTTTGAAAATTTGTACCGAAATCAAAACTTCCCGCGAAAAATCGATGTTTCTCGTACCAAATTTGTACGCGAAAAATCTTTCTGCACCCGATGACGCAAAATCTCCATACGAAGCATGGTTCGTATGAAAGCCAGTCTACACGGATTCTCGTGCCGAAAAATCGTATGGAGCAGGCCTGGAAAAAATCCGTACCGCCCATACGGATTTTGGCACGGAAAATCGTACCCCGGAACCTCTCTATTATGTGTTGCTCCCTACGTGGGAGCTTGTGCTATTCCTGCCGACTTGAATTCTCACTTGACTGACTCACGACTGCCATCCAGAGCACACGAGAAGTCCATCGAACCTTCCACTCGGCAAACCTGAAAAAAAGCACCACTCCCTGCTCAATACACAGTGTTTCGGGGGAATTCACCCCTCATCAGGTAAGCTTGAGTAGGCTGAGGAAGATTGTGCCTGAAGAGCACCACTAATCAGGGCCGGCGCCACTGGTACGACCGGTAGCCGTAGCCGCCGTACCAACTATTACTTCCCAAAAAGTTTTTTTTCGGGGGTAACGGCCTCTTTTACGGGCAAGATAAAGTCATGTAGACGTGAAAAAAATAGAGATACCATGAAAGGTAAAATAGAATTTTATTCAAGTACAATACATTGGGAAACTCCAAGAAATTTCAAGTAAAACAGACGAAATTCAGTTCTCAATGGCCGATGCCTACCCCAGCACCATCCTGCGTCGACAGGCCTGCCAGGCGCCTTCTGGACCCGCGTAGCCGGAGGTCGACTGTAT